GCTATCAATGGCACCCTCGGCTTCGGCATGCTTCTCACCGTCCTCTTCCGCATGGGGGATCTCGACTCCATCCTCACTGAAAACCCTGCATTCCCATTCATGGCCATCTTCTACCGCGCAGTGAAATCGCGATCTGGCGCCGCCGTCATGGCTTCACTAGTCATGATTCTAACCATCGGCGCAGGCGTCGGCCTCTCAGCCTCCACGTCCCGCATCTGCTGGGCCTTTGCCCGAGACAAAGGGCTACCAGGCTGGAAAAGACTAAGCAAGGTAGGAAACCCTCATTTTCTCTGTTCCCAGATTGCCAACAAGCTTACGCATTCCAGGTCAGCTCCCGAACCCAAATCCCCGTCGCCGCTGTCCTCTTCACAAACATAACCGCCTGCCTCCTCGCCCTCATCAACATCGGCTCCACCACCGCTTTCAACGGCATCATCTCCGTCGCCATCTCCGGCCTCTTCTCCTCGTACCTCCTCACTTGTTCCTTACTACTCTACCGCCGCTGCACAGGCGGTATCGCTCCTACTACCGATCCTACTGCTGCGCCACTGCCATCATCACCGCTCAATCAAAACTCGAAAATACACGCAGTATGGGGCCCCTGGCGTCTCCCCGCCGCTCTCGGCATCGCAAACAATGCATTTGCATGCGCCTATCTGTGTTTTGTGCTCTTTTTTAGTTTTTGGCCTAGCTTCGCGCAAGTTACGGTGCAGAATATGAATTGGGCGGTGCTGGTTACGAGTGTGATTGCGGGGATGAGCGTTGTGTATTATGTGGTTTGGGCGAGGAAGGTATATCGTGGACCGGTGGTGGAGGTGGATGTGACAAGGGAAGGTAGTGGTGGTGTGAGTGGTAATGAGGGGGTGTAGAGGTGTTTGGAATTATTATCGGGGAGATGGTGTGACATAGATTGGGTGTATATGAGTGATTTCTGATAGATGAGATGTACAATGTACTACTCAGGATAAGGTTAAGAATTCGACATGGAAATTGATTACGAATCATAAATATTTCTTCACAAAAAGTCACATTAAACTAAAGCCAGATTATTCAAGTCGAAACATGGCTTATTTTAGTGAGCAAAATGGTATATACTACGTAGAACATCGTCATCATCATACACGGGTTAAACAACCAAAAAAACAACATTGGTATCAACCCGCCATTCTAAGCAATCCAGAACCAAATCTTCTGCCAGACATTCTTCGGCACGGGTGCCCCGGAAATATCATCCTTGCACAGCTCATTCATTTCCCTGACTCCCGTCGTAACATCGATGCTCTGCACAGGAATCGCAAACCGCGTCCTAGTCGCAAACTTGTGGCCAAAGTAGAGGGCGAGGAAAATAGGGAGCGTGATATATGCGGCGAGGAAGTCGGAAACGTCCCAATCCGCCGGCACAAAGACCTGGAAGCCGTTTGTGAGGGTGAGCAGCGAAATGACGAAGAGGGTGAAGTAAGTGAGGTAGGGCTGGAAAGGTGTGCGGTAGGGTAGGGTATTAAGAACGCCGTTAAAGACCATGGCTTTGCGGAAGCGAATATAAGTGATCATGACGACGATCCAGGCGATGAAACCGGAAATGGTGGAGATGTTGGAGAACCAGAGGAAGACCTGGGCGCCGGCGTTTGAGACGTTGAGGTAGGCGAGGAGACCAATTGCCCAGGTTGCGAGGACGGCGACGTAAGGGACGCCTTTTTTGCTGGTGCGGCCGAAGATCTTGGGGGCTTCGCCGTTGAGAGCCATGCCGTAGAGGACGCGCGAGCCGGAGAAGAGGAAGGCGTTGCCGGCGGACCAGGCAGATGTTAGGACGGCGGCGTTGACGACGTGGTTTAGTCCTGCGATGCCGGCTCTTTGGATGCCGATGACGAAGGGGGATGCGGAGGCGTTGGAGCTGCCGTTGAGGAGACGCTCGTCGTCAGAGGGGACAATGACGCCGATGATAAAAGATCCGAGACCGTAGAAGATGGCCAGACGGTATACGAAGCGGCCTGCGGCCTTGGGGATGTTGCGGCGAGGAGCAATAGTCTCTCCGGCAGCAAGGGCGATGAGTTCGGGAGAGGTGATGAAGGCGAAACCAGCGCGGACAAAGGCGGTCCAGTATGCAAGGAAATTTCCAGCATGTCCATCTACGATATATGGCTTGAAAGCACCGGGATTGTTCCAGTATCTAAAGCCTAGGCGGCCTTGTTCATTTGGACTCCCACCAAGCATAATGACGAAACCCAGAATAACGAGGCCGATGATAGTGATAAACTTGATAGAGGCGAACCAGAACTCGGCTTCTCCGAAAAGCTCGACGGCAATGATGTTGAGGATGAGGACGACAATCAGGAAAATGGTAATCCACACAGCGTTGTGAACGGGAGTCTTCCAGTAGTCGAGGAGAATAGCTCCAGCCGTGGCCTCTGCGGCAACAAGAATCGCGTACGCGTACCAGTAATTCCATCCCGCAGCGAAAGCTAAGCTAGGATCGACGAATCGTTTGACAAAGTATGGAATTGTGATTCCGCGCATTGGCAAAAATGTTACGATTTCGGCCAAGTTGTTCATGACGTTGTAAACGACGAGCATCATGCTCAGGTAGGCCATGAACAAAGGTGCGGGGCCGACAAGAGCAAGAATAGAGCCAGATCCGATGAAGAGGCCAGTACCAATGGCACCACCAAGGGCACTGAATGGTCGTAAGCATCTAGACTATTTTCAAGATGGATACGCGTATACTCACAGGAACTGGATATGCCTAGATTTCAATCCACGGTGTGTGTCTCCTCCCCGCCCCGTCTCGCCGCCAACGGTAGCAGCGCCATGTACAATGGGCTCCTCAAAGCCGACATTATTCTCCTCGTAGCCATAGGGGGCCGACTCGGGCTTTTCATCAGCCATGTAGTGGTTCGGCATGATTAGAGTGATATAAGAGTTAATTGACGGACTCGCCGGTACCGAACTTGGCCAGTGTAAGTCGGGAGATGGTAAGCTATTATATACTACGAAGATACGGCATCACGAACAAGCGCAAGGCGGGGGGTGTGGCGCGCGCGACGAGCAGTTCAGGCAGAGATTTCCAACATGGTGAAATGGGCCGAGACGGGAGGAGAGGGTAGTACTTTACCCAGGTTGGGGTTCCAAGAGGGCATCCATGGTGTGGGACGATCCTGTAGCGTTGGCGGCGCAGACGCATGCATAGCTAGGCGACTCTGGGGAACCAATTGTCGTTAGGTAATGGCAAACTACCGATGAAAAGGCGGGGGAATGACCTTGGCGTGCCGTGAAGGATGTCACACAAAGCAAGGCCTGGCGTGATGACGCCCTGGTCGTGCGTCTCGCATTTTCTCGGCTCTGTGTTTGCTGGGCACTGGGCACTGGGCACTGTTCGAGGCGTGGTGTGTGAAGGCTCTTTTCAGCCCAGCCCGATGAGCGGAGTGAGGGCTTATGGCTCTGAGCCGAAGAAAAGCGAGCGCCGTGGGGTTGAGGCTCAGCTTCGCCATAGCCAGAGCCCTGACAAGCTTCTGGAATACGCGCTAACCGGCGCTAGAAGAGTTAGCGTCCGTTAGCGCCCCACCCATGGTTTGCCAAATGCTGTCCGGCACTGTGCACACTGGACACCTTCCATGTGGTTCATGGAGAAGGGTGCAGATTCACGGCCTCATCTGGGGATCGCGGGGTTGGCTCTACGACCCTTATTGGCCTCCGGTGTCATTGTGCGACGGTCAGTATTCGGCAGCACTCCTACGACAGCGTCTTGAATCGGCTGTCAGACTACGCGTCATACGTCTTGTGCAACCATCACAGCGTCCAGGTTTTTTTCTTTGCTCGCTTAAACCGGTACCTGCGAAGTCTGCGTCCTTATCACTTCATACCACAACAAAAGATATCGCTATCTCTGGTTTTTCACACCGCTGGGATTTACAAACGTAAAAGATACTCATCCAAAAGCCTCTCTGGCGCACCCACTTGGCTCAGAACATGCCCATTGCGGGTCCTAGTGGAGACACCAACCCCAGAGCGCTATGGACACATGGCGTGACCCACTATCCTCCAGACATCAACCTACCCAGCCGTATGCACTCTGACATAGGGCTATTTTCTCCGCACGACTATTCCAGTGATAGACAAGCCTTCCCTCTTATTCAATACGAGATTGTTTCGGCCTAAAAGTGACCATTGCATTGGGTTTCCCCAAACACGGACATGGTTCAGACAGGTACCCCGGACCCATATTACTGCCGCAACCCAGCGATCAGCATGGCACCTGATTGCAGTGGTGGAGAATTGCCTAGCACTCTATGTCGTTCACCTGGTTGGTAGTATCAAGAAATATAATCTAAACCCTCGCTGTGCCAACGTCATCCCATGTCGTGAAGTCGTCAGCCCTTCTCAGGACTGAGACTAATACACCGGCAGTTACCACCACGCTTACTCGTACTATGCTGATATCGACATGTGGAGTAGCTACTATACGACAAAAGGGGAACGATTTGATACATTCCTAGAGGACCTCCGTTTGCAATTCCAGACCGGGACCAGCTTGGTCAACCTTTGCGCCAAAGGAGAAAGCTGCCACTTCGAGATGTTATGGGTTATTTCTTCCGACAACCCTTCCGAAGCCACCACCTTCCACACTTTTGTCTTGGTACCATTTTAGCTCCAATACGTAGCGAATCGCAAACAACCTTTTCAGCCTCCAGGACGCATCAAAATGCAAAAGATAAGAAACACAGTGGAGAAGAAAGAGAAAGACACAGCGGTTCTCATCGGACATTCGCAACCCCAGATGTATGGAGGTTACGTGAGGCTCAACTTCGGCGCAAAAGAACCGCCACCCGCGCCACCCCTCACCTGGCCACCCGTCAGCGGCAGCAAGCGAAAGGGCGGGCAGGCACACGACAACAAGACGTCATGCACCGGAATTGCCGATGCTCCCACCATGCTCTCACCATGCTCTTGCCTGAGCGACTCAAGATGCAATCAACTCTTGCGCCCGTAGTAACCCCCAACCCATCATGATACCACAAGATGTGATTGAAAAAGCCCTATCCAAAGCCCAAGAAAGCGCATCACATAGCTGGGAACACAGCACAGTATTCGAAGCCTTACTTGAATACCGCAACCCATCCTACAGCGTCTTCTCCGCCAACCCATTTCCAAACGGCGAAGCGCCAAGACTGAAGATCGAAGACATCGACGCCCTACGCTATGTAAGACCACTGATCCGGACCGATACCCCAACGCTCAGCGAAGACAACGGTACGTTTCCCTCTCCCCCTTGCATACTCCGTAGTACAGTATACCCTGCCATAAAGCCGTTCAAAGCCCCACCACGAAAAGAAAGAAAGAAACACCAACCACAAATTGTTATAACAAACAAGCCCTCTAAAAAAAAAGAAACACCAGGCTCATCAGCAGACCCAACATCCCTCTGCCTCCCCACCCTCCTCCTCTCCCTCTCCCCCTCCCTGCCCCCCTCAACCCAAACCACCTACTCCACCGCGCTCTCCCGCCAACTCCACACCTTCCTCAACTCAACCCCCCGTTTCCCAAACGGCGCCCTCTCCCACCGCACAACCCACCCCTCACTATGGTCCGACTTCATCTACATGGCACCCCCCATCCTCGCCTACCTCGGCATCTCCACCCACGACTTATCACTCCTCGGTGAATCCGTGCGCCAGTGCGAATTATACTGCCAAGTTTTACGCTCAGAGTCGGGTGCATGGCGGCACATTGCCAATCTCCCCTCCCCCCACCCCTTTTTTCCCACCTACAGTTTCTGGGCAAAGGGGAAAGAGAGTGTGAAGGTGAAACAGGACAGTGGAGCGTGGAGCACGAGTAATGCCTGGGCGGCCGCGGGCATGGCTCGTGTACTGGCGACTTTACGCCACTCCCCTTTTGCGGCAGCGACGATGGAGGAGCAAGGAAGTTTGCGGGGGATGATTAGAGGGATTGTAGATGCGGCGAGGAGGGTGGATTCGCATCCATCGCGTCTGCTGCGGAATTATCTAGATGATGACACTGCGTTTGCGGACGTGGCGGGCACGGCGTTGATGGCTGCGACGGTGTTTAGAGTTGTGCGGTTGCAAGGCCCGGGGGAGGTGGTGTTTGGGGGTGAATATACCGCCTGGGCGACGGAGAAGATGCGAGCTGTGGCGCAGCATGTTGATGCAGAAACGGGGGTCGCGGCGCCGGTTGTGAATTCGCTGAGGGAAGGGGAGGAGATGCCGTTGGGGGAGGTTAATCCGGAGGCCCAGGCATTTGTTGTTTTGCTGTTTGCTGCGTGGCGGGATTGGAGTCAAGCTGAATCACTGTAGATAGGCGTGCCTGGTAGGTGTTGTAGGGATTGAAAATAGTTTTTGTAGAAAATGTGGCGAGTGATATTGTGTTACGAACCATGCGTCAAAAGAGACCATGTCGTGAAGATGCGGTAGCAGCAGTAGTCTTGTATTTCGTGTACGCTGAATCCAAAAAAAACGCGCTCGAGTCCTGAGGCTTTCCTCTCCCGTTATCAAAGTATTAAACAGTTACTCATCTACAATTACCCCCCGCTATGCAAAAAAAGGAAGAGAAAGGATTAAAAGAAGATAGAAAAGAAGATTCAGTAGGTCGTCAACGTCCAAGCGCTTGAGCTTTATCTTCCATCCCGTCATTACAACAACGATCTAACAGCCAATAAAAAAACAAGCCAAGAAAGTGCACTTGTGTGTATCCAGAAAGTTCGTGAGTTGGGTCTGACCTCGAACAAAAAAACATGGATCATTAAAGAGAGCAACAGAAAAAAAAGAATGGACGTCAGGCATTGACAAGGTGATGATGTCAAAGCATGTGGATGGCATGGTAATACATGACATGTCGTCGCTCCAATCATTACTCGCTGGTGTCGTCAAAGCAGCCACAGGCAGGCCTCTAGTCGGTTCGGCCCTTGCCATCAACAACGCCGTTGGACCTCTGGTTCTTCTCGTTGGACTTCACGGGGATGGTAAAGCATTTGATACCAAGGTAGTCGCATATGCTCGTGATAACCAGATGCGCCCATTTTCCGTAAACAACAAAGGCGAAAACAAAGTATGCGCGGAGGTACCAGAGCTCGAAGCCAGCGGAGACGGGACCAAAGGTGGTTCCGGGAATGGTAAAGTAAGGGTGGTTGACAATCAGCGCTCCTCCAATCATGGGTGCCAGCATGATGGTCCAGTAGGGGAACGGCTGGTGGGTGAGATGAGCCAGGATAATCTTGGTCGTCATTCGTCCAAACACTAGCGACATGGTCAGGCAGTAGAGAACCAGGTGGTTGTTCTCGAGGAGTTTCGAGTATGGCGATCCCAGCCAAGCCATGGTGCAGACAACGAAGATAATAAGGGGCGTCCATTCCTTGATCAGTGGAAGCACGGGCTGGTTCCTGGCTCGACGCGCACGCGCAACGTTGAGAATGCATTCAGGGAGGTGCGCAACGAAGAAGGTGAAGAGAAGAATTGGCACCCAGAGTTCCTTGATGGTGATTTCGCCAATCTCCGCCTTGTAGGACGGGAAGTAGTTGGCAAGTGGGGTCGACCAGATCTCCGGGCCGAAGTATCCGGACAGGCAGATGAAGGTGCATGCGAGAATCAGACCCTCTGTATCACGTGAGCTAATGTCCAGGAGAGCGCGTGTATCTAGACTCACCCGTAGGCCCGTTAAAGTATCCCAGATACAGAGTATGCGTGTGGTACGTCTCCCAGGTCGAAAAGAACATGGGCAAAACAGGAATAAGGGCAGTAAAGGCACCAATCTTGGTCGAGCCGTATCCAACAGCCGCAGTCTCCAGGAGGCTTGCCAGTGTGCAGTTCAAAGAATCAATGCCGTGGCTGTGTGTCACAGTCAGTGACGTGGTCTGGCGCGTTTGGCTACATTGTCACATACTCAAACAGTTCACCCAGCGGGCTCGACGAGCCGGTGCGACGCGCTTGCTTTCCATCGACGTTGTCCATGGTGGAGTACCTGCAAGAGCGTTAGCGCAATGCTTGAGCGCGCGCAAACGTGGTGTTTGCTTACATCCACATGCCAAAGGCAAAGCTGTAGTAGACCCATGAGGGCGCGGGTCCAACAAGATCGGGAATGTATAGCTCGAGCAGCACAATGTTTCCGAGGATGAAGCAGAAGCCGAGTAGTGTGACGAGGTTCGGTGCGAGCCAGAGGGGCAGTAGTTCGACAAAGGCATTCCACTGCGCTAAAGTCAGACGGGGTCTTGTGGGTTGCGGGGATGCATGGCGCAGCGTACGTAGTGCTTTAGGATATAGCGGGAGATGAAGGACTTGTCGACGCTCGAGTATTTGTATGTCCGCAGGTGCTGCAGGGCGTCTTCAGAGACACACTCATGCTTCTTTGTCTCTGCAAACGTGTCGGTGGTTAGCAGAAAAATAAAAACGATGGGCTAGAAGGCCGGGCGCGCGCCAGGGGGGCAGTTTGTACCTTTGCTCGGCGGCATGGTGGGCGTGGTGACAGGATGTGGCAGCGACATTTAGGCTAGCAGGGCGGGATTAATTTATACTGATTTACGATTGACCATGCACTTCGGTGGGGGGGAGTCTGCACTTCAGGAGCCGCCTGTCTCTTGTGGGTTGGGGTGGGCGTTTGGCTTCAGCGGCGGTCAAACTTCTAAAAGGGACGGGTCCGTCGGCTCGGTAGGCGGAGGCCCAGGGATTGCAGGGCCAGGGGTCCAGAAATTGCACGTCATTGCTCAGTTCCCAATGCTTCTGGCACGTGAAAGGTCCGTTCTGTGGCTCTTGCGCCCCTTTACTACTATCTACTACATACTATGTCCGCTACACAGGAGAGCTACCACCACCGCCTATACTGCTAATCCTTGCACACCCTTTTTGCTTATTTTCAGCTCAATCAAAGTCATCTTTTCATCTGATGGAGATGTCGACTATGTTCGTGCATCAGGCAACGAAGCAACACTGCAAGCCCTGGATTCTACATTGCAGGCTTCTTCTTGCACTCAGCCATCATCGCATGGCATGGGGCCGTGTGAAGCTTTCCTCTTGTCCAAGTTCCAGCAAAGTACATCGTTGTACAGTGGATTAGGACGTCAATCTCCTTTAGTCTTGGCAACATTGGTTTCCGAGACATATTGCGGGCTCTGAGCCAAAACCGTAGAAGGGCGTGGACGGGCTGACCATTGGCCTGGAAGCCGTGTAAACGTTCCTCGGTAGCCCAGAGATGAGTGATGTGAATACTGAGTTTGCAGATGACTGTCCTGTACTCGGGCTGTCGGACAAGCCATACTAGGAGCATTGTCGGATCTGCGATGCGATAAATCACCAGAGGCGCTACTATTATGTCATCGTCGTTGTATCCCTCCAACACAAGCTCAAAGACACGCTTTCTACGGTTGAAGTCTATCATGTAGTGGTCGTGGATAAATCCGGCTCCTGAGCCGTCTATCTGTACGACACAATCTTCGAAGACGGTTTGCTATATCACCGCGCGTAGCTCGGCGGGGAGCCTAGGCAAAGTCAGCTTTCGGGGTGAGTTCTTGACAGTAATGTCTCCGGCCTTTATGTCTTCACTCTTTCCAACCTGCAACATACCGTTCGTGTGCATAGGAGAAACGCTCATCTTTCTAGTCGTGTAATTGCCCAGAGGATCCAAAGTCGTATGTTAGTTCCAGGTGTTCAGGCGGAAACGCAGAGGATACAACTGGTTCCTATAGCACCTATGAGTGAGTCATAGTTTGGTGTTGAGGAAATAGAGCAATAATATGTCAAACATGGGTGGAAAGGCTTGACCACTGAATTCTCGCTTCCTCATCCACGGCACTCAACCGTGACAACAAACGGGCACGATGTGACATGGCACATGTTACAAATGTACCCGAATAAAGAGGCCTACTTCTACCAAGAATTCGTTGCACAAAAGAATGGTGATACCATATCAATAGCGGCTGACTCCAGCTTGAGCAAAGTCTCGCTAGCAAAGCCACTCATTACGCCTAAGCTCTCAATTCAAATCACACACCAACCCTCCATAACAAAGCTGACAGCCCTGATCTGCAATAGAGCAAGAGCAGCTTGGACAAATACCACTTGGTCCATGGGCAGACACACACGAGCCTTCATTTACGATGCTGCGGCCGCCTTCCTTTGATCTTCCTCTTTCCGCATGTCCTCCAAAAACTTTTCCCATGTTTCAATCGTGCCCTGGAAGAAATCCACGTGCGCATCTGCTAGATCACCGAGTGTGTCCTTGAACTCGATGGCTTTGATGCGTTCAAAATCAGCCACTTCCTTGACGGTGTGCTCATCAAATGCCTCGCTGGCCTTCTTTGAAAGCTCCACTTCGCCCGTCAGACGCTCAATCTCGACTTCGAGTTTGCGAACCCGTTGCCGACGCGCTTGGTCGTGGTCGATGCCTCGGAAATCCTCAACCTTGGATCGCAAGAAGCCAGATGCACCCATACCCGCTCCAGTTGCACTAGCCAGCGAATCGCGGTCCGCAGCAGACTTGGCTAGATACTCGCTCAACTGCTCAAAGTCAAGCTGCTTACCCTCCCTCGTTCGAAGAAGCGTCTTGACGGCCTGGATATACGCGTCCATGTCTCGCAAACTAGTCAAGTAGTTCTGGTCTGTGTGATCGCGAATGGACTTGAAGCCCTGTGAGGTGGTATTGACGGAAGCGGCGAACGAAGTCAGGTTGCCTTCGACTGCGGGCTCCATGGTAGTCAGCTTCTGGCACTGCGTCGCTAGGTCGGCGTAGTCGGTCTCCAAATCTCCTTGCCGCCGGGCAACCTTGACCGTAACCTTCTCAACATTGTTCAAGTCTTCGCTGAGCTTGTTGGCTCGTTCGCTGACTTCGATGAAGCGCTGATCCGGCTTGTGTATCTTGGTGAAGGTGTTGACGAATGTATCTGCTATGGCATCGACGAAGCCGCCGCTGCCTTGGTCAGACCCGCTTGCAGCCCTCGACGATCTTCCCTTCATGTGCTGGTTCCAATCCGGACTCTCGAGGAAGTTGATGACAAGCACAGCTCTTCGCAGTACAGGGTGCAGCGCTATCCGCTTCAGAAAGCGGTGCAGGGAGTGGGCTCTTCTCTGTGTAAAGTCCGGACCGAAGCGGTCTCCGCGCACATACTCCATTTTGTGCTTGTCGGGCAGCGGAGGGACGGCGCATTGTGGATACTCTTTGGAGAGCTGTTTCCAGAGGAAGACAAAGTCTGTGAAGCGGCGGCGCACGGAGAATTCGGGCTTCTGGAAGGACTGGAAGTCGGACTGTAGGTGGGGTTAGGTGTTAGAGACGGGGCTACGTGAAAACAGAACTGCAGGTACGGGCAAAAGTACCAACCTTTGTGGTCACCAAGTAGGAGACATATTGGTTCTGGGTGCCTGCCAACTCTTTCTGTGGGCTGCCGACAAACGTCTCTAGGCGCCCTTCGCTGAAGTCGCCCCCCATTGCGCGTCTGCGGGGTGCGTTTGGATCGTGGGTAAGTGTTAGGCGACTCTGTTTGAGCTCTTCAAGGTCGCTTAGGCAGTCGTAGTCTGGCTCGTCTAGTGAATCGTCGCACTGATCGCGAAGGCTTCCTGTCTGCTGTGGTCCTGGTAAGCTCGGAGCTGAGTCGGTGACGTCGGTTGGAGAGGCAGTGTTAGGGTGGCCTGGGCTCTCGCCCGCACCTTCGCCCTCCCAGATGAGCGACCGGCACCGAATCCGCTCGTACATTGCTTCAAAGTCGTCAACACTTGACAGCAGCATGTGGTCACAAGGTCTGTATTCAAAGGCTCAATGAGCGTATTTGGTGTGTGTGCGTATCAGTCGTTCCTCAGCTAAGTGCAAACAGACCTGCAATCATACCACAGTCGGTGAATATCTACAGTGAATGAGGAATGCGCAACTTGCCCAAGCAAACGCGCTCCCTTGTCGCGTGCATGGTCAGATACATTCATGCTTAATCCAGAAGGCCACCCAAAACCCTTGGTCTGTAAACCAGAAAAGTGTAACGGTATCATCGTGACATAATCAAACACTCGTAACTCAAGCACATTAGTGCACACACATTACTGCTCAGCACCAAAGCGCTTGCCAAACTCGTTGAAGAGCTTGGGGGATATCTCGTCGCTGCTGTTTCCATTCACGGTCCACAGCACGCCTAGCTTGTCGTAGTGTTCAAGCAGAGGCTCGCTGGTCTCCTTGAAGCTCTGGAGACGCGCCTTCCACACCTCTGGGTCGTCGTCTGCGCGTCGCGTGAGCGGCTCACCCGTAACATCGTCTTTGCCCGGTACCTTTGGCGCATTAAACGTAGTGTTGTAAACGCGCCCCGAGGGTTCGTGCACCCAGCGGTTGCAGATGCGGTCGATGATGATATCACTAGGTGTGTTGAGATGGACGACCATGTTGATGGGCACAATGTTGTCGAGTTGAATCGCCTGGACAGCAGTGCGCGGGAAGCCGTCGAGGATGAAGGATGCCGAGGGGTGATTGGAGAAGGTGTAGCGCGGGGCCCGCACCTCGGACGGAATCATGACCGAGTCAACTGTAGTGTCGGCCATGTCCATGGAACTGAAGTTGAGGGCATATGGCCGCAGCGCATTGTCCCGTATCCATCCCCGCGTTGTCAGTTCATTCACAATCAGGCGCAGGATCATTGTGTCTGGCACCAGCTTTCCGGACTTCATGGTCGACTCGGCCTTGATGCCTGCGACAGGTCAGCATTGGGTTATTTTATTTTATTTTTCCTAGCGCGGGGAACGAGCGCACATACCGAGAGGAGTCCGCTCCCTCACATTCTTCCTCAGTAAGTCACCAGAACTGATGGCCGACAGTTGGGAGAATTTATTCATCAAGCGCTCTGTCTGAGTGCCCTTGCCAACACCGGGCGCGCCTACCAGAATGATTCTGGCCGCTCTTGCTAAACTCGGTATGTGCATTATGTTGTATTGTGTGAGAAGGTGGCCGTGGGTGGCTAGAGGGGGGGCTGCGATATCTATGTATGCCGGGGTATTTGTCGGTGCGAGAAGTGAAGCGCGGCGGGCTTCGCGGCGGGTGTGCAAATATTAAAAATGGTCCATTGTAAGCGGAGGTCGGGGGAAGGGAATAGCGATATGGGGAAAGGGAAGAAGGAAGAAGGAGGAGGAGGACGGAGAAGGGCGACACGGCCAAAGTCCTTTTTCGTAGGACAAGACGCTGACCAAGGTCGGGTAAAGGTGGAGGAGGGGACGGCCAGGCCCAGGACTGAATCGCACTCACTCGCAAGCCACTCCACTGTCGATGTTGCGGCCATCGGCCACGGCAAAGCTTCGGCCATGGCCATAATGGCTACTTTGCTGCTTAACGGGGGCGCATAATGCCCGACGATGGTCCCCGGAGCGCCTGCACGGGCTGCGTCTAGAATCATACATACAGCATATGTATGTGTATCCGGCCTGTTCCTAGGCGCAATTAATCATCCGTCATGGATACGCAGGCCAGTGCAAATATGTGTGCCAGGCCCCGTTGGTGGCGGCCAAGCTTTGGATCGCCCTGGTGCGCCGGTCCCTGAAAGCTCCCTAGGCCTAACTCCGAAAGACGGCAACGTCAGACCAGGCCCATTTTCTCAACTGCATAATCCAGTCCACTTTCCACATCACACGTCAGTTTCCCACATCTCCTTTCCACCTTTTATATGCTGCTTCTCCCCCGCCCGTACATACTTTAATCGCTGTACAATATCCACGTCGTTCCCTTTTCATTCTGCTGCCCGTCCCGGCGCAATGTACGTTAGCAGAACTGCCTCCCGGGCAGCGCCCGCAGTCTTCAGAGCAGGCATCAGGACCACCACCCGCACACATCGCCCCATGCTGCGCTCCTCGCCTGCAATTCGCATCCTCATCCCGCTTCGAGCCCTACAGACCGAGTCGACGTCATCCAACGCTGCACAGAACTACCCGCCCCCTGGCTTCGACCCCAAAAAAGCAAGCCAACCACTCTCCAGGCAGGACCAGGACAAGGCTCCCCAGCAAGCCAAACCCCAGCTCGAAAAAGGCACCCTCATCCCCAAGTCTGGCCCAACCGCACACGCAAAGACACCCGCTCAAGATGTTCAGACAATCAGGGAGCTGGGCGCAGACAAGGCAGCAGCCGAGACCAAAGAGGAGAAGAAGGTTATGATGAAGAAGGACGAGGAGAAGAAGAAGCTCACCGTCTGGCAAAAAGTCAAGAAGGAGCTGGTTCATTACTGGGATGGTACTAAATTGCTTGGTTTCGAGATCAAGATCAGTTCCAAGCTTGCCTTGAAGATGGCTGCTGGTTACGAGCTCACTAGACGAGAGCGTCGACAGGTATGTTTCCTTTTGCTGCTCAAGCCAACCCAAATGCACAGCACTAACTTGACCTAGTTGCAACGCACAGTCCAGGATCTCGCCCGTTTGGTTCCCTTCCTGCCTTTCGTCATCGTGCCGTTCGCCGAGTTGCTTCTTCCCGTAGCGCTCAAGCTCTTCCCCAACATGCTTCCCAGCACATACGAGGGCCAATCAGCCAAGGATACCAAGGCCCAAACCCTCCGAGCAACCCGTAAGGATGTTAGCGACTTCCTTCGCCAGACTCTAAAGGAAACCGGTTTGCCAGTTTCCCCCGAAAATGCACAGACAGCCGAGTTTGGTGAGTTCTTCCGAAAGGTGCGTACAACTGGCGAGAAGCCAACACCAGAGGAAATCATCAAGGTCTGCAAGATCTTCAAGGATGACTTGACTCTTGACAACTTGTCCCGCCCGCAGCTCGTTTCCATCTGCCGCTACATGAATATTACTTCCTTTGGTACCGACAACTTCCTGCGCTACCAAATCAGAGTTCGTATGCGCCAGATCAAGCGTGACGACAGGGCCATTGCCTACGAAGGCGTCGAGACTCTTTCGGTACCCGAGCTTCAAACTGCGTGTGCAAGCCGCGGTATCCGAACGTACGGCGTTTCTCCTGGCAGGCTACGGGATGACCTGACGAGCTGGCTTGATCTCCGTCTTAAGCACGGTGTTCCTTCAACCCTATTGGTGCTCTCCAATGCTTTTGTATATGCACAAGGCAAGGACGCAGAAATGACATCCCAGATTGATGCACTGGAGGCTGTTCTTTCCAGCATTCCCGAGGAACTCTACCACGAGGTTGACCTCGAGGTCCGGAACGCTGAAGGCGCCGCCACCAACAAGCAGCGTCTTGAAGTCCTCAAGGAGCAGCAGGAACTCATCAACGAAGAGAACGAGCAGACGGAGACTGTAGAGAACAAGGCAACTGCCTCGCCCAAGGACCACGATGACATTGACGAGGCCGAGAAGCCTACAAAGGATGCCGATGAGGCAAAGGAGGCCAAGGCCGCTGAAGAAAGCAAAGAAGCCGAAGCTAGTACCGGCGAGAGCGTGGGCGGCAGTGCTGAGCGCGCCGAACAAGATGACCGCGCAAGGAAAATGGATGAGCCTACCGGTAAGGCTGAGAAACCTGCCGATGCTGTTACTGCAAAGAAGGAGTAAAAACATGAGACTTGACTGTCTCTTTCTCTACTCTGTTTTCCAAGTCACATAGTCTACTCAAAAGAAAAGAAACTTTGCAAATACCACCGTCTCTCTCTCTCTCTCCTTTTTCTTGGTGTTACGGGATCGAGGAGGGGGAAGGATACAGTGCATATTAGAAAATACCCCCCTTCGTTTCCCAATAGAAAGTGTAACATTAGACTGAAAATTGTATATATGAAGACCTACTTACTCAATTGTTACGGTAATTTTTTTTCTGGATGGGGTTAGTGGACTTGGCAGGAGGGGGGGCAAGGGTAGGGTAGGGCTAAGCATGTACGTATGCATACACGTAGCCCTAAAAGTGGGTCTTGTAACGATTGAGGGCCATTTTATTATGTGTTGTTGAGTGATTTGGTAGAGTTGAAGCACATGATGATTAGCGCGCTGTATGAGCTGTGTTTGGCATGGCTGATTTGATGAAGAAAAGTGATGGCGCTGTAATTCTGGTCAGGCGACTAGAGATTTTTTGTGATCTGAGAGCTGAGAGAGAGAGAAACAAATGAAGAGTTGTTTTGGGGTCATGGGAGATGGTTTCCCTATTGGAAATCTAAGGCCATTTAATACCTGTATGTCAGTATCGCTCCATGCAGATTGTGTGAGAAAAATATACTTTGGCCTTGAGCAATTGCACGTCTGCAGATATCTCTTCGTAACGATGGGATTGATTTTGGAGTATGGAGGTAAAGTGGGTTAAGTGTACTGAACTGTGTACAAACGTGGAGACGTAACTAGCCCCCCTTTTTGGCGCTAGCCCACCCATGGGGTTAAACAGGAAGTCACGCATCACGTTCTTACTGCAATTGTTTGGAATCATTTCAGAGTTCAGGGCTAGAAGTACGAAGAAGAAAGTTCATTTGCTATTATACACAAGTAGTAGTCGCTCGGTGCGAATTCTCATCATCATCAAACAACCTAGTGGTTTTGTAATTCCCATACTCATCAGGGAGTATGAAACAGACATTCGAGCAGGCGAATAATAATCTCTTCTCTCAGCTGAATCATATCATTCCTCAGCTCAATCATCTCCCAGAGTTTAGACTCTCGTGTTCTTGCACAGTCTTTCTCCTCCTCGGCCTTTCCAAGCAGCGTCGAGAAGTCCTGCCTAAGCATGTCATGCCTTTTTTGTAGACTTTGCATGATCTGCTCATACATCTTTATCTTCTCCATCTCTGTTCTAAGTATGTCGGTCATTCGCATATGATATGTGGAAATAATGTCGTAGCTAATCAGAGCTTCCTTAATCAAATTTTCAAGTGACACCGGCAAATTGTTGGTTTCGGTCTGCCTCATGATGTTGCCTTGTCGCCAATTAGATATGACGCGTCCCAACTGGAGGTACTTCTCCTTGATTTCTTCAGGCCTTTTGAAAGAGGCCATGAGATTACGCAAGTTATTGCACAGGGACACTACGTCTTTGTCGACCTGCTTGATAGCGTTCTTCAGCGCCATGTTCTTAGCCATGACAGGTTCCGGTGGCGCTTCTTGCCCCATAGCACTTTGTTGAAGCTCGAGTTGTTTTTCCAGAAAAGTGATGTTTTCTTCACATCTACGATATAGATTCGGTCCCGCAAGTTGAGCCCTGAGATCATTCATCTTACCTACGTGTCCCTGACGTTCTTGCTGCAGCGTCTCAACGGTCGTCTCATGAGCCGTACGCTGTTTTTGCAGCACATTGTTTTCTGCTTTGCGTACTTTGTAGTCCTTCTTCAATGTTTCGATAGTTGTCTTGAAGACTTCAGCCTGCTTCCGCAGTGTAGTTATTACCGCTTGTTGAGCCTCACACTTCTCCTGCAATGTTTTGGCCGTTGCTTCGAATTCGTTGCCTCTGTCACGCTTTTTTCCAAGCCCTTTGATCGTCGCAGCACTTTTACAACATTCCGTCTCTAATCTCGCCGACTCTTGCTGGAGCTGTTCGATTGTTTGTCCACAGTTTCGATGGTCTTCAAGCTGTTTTTGGGCACTTTCAAGTGTTCCCGAGCATTTCTTATGCTCATCTAACTGACGCCTTAAACAGGCAATAATGTTGTCGCAGTCTTGGTGACCTTCCCATCGGCATTTCCATTGACCTAGCTCTTCTTCGAGATGCGTAATTCGGTCTGCTTGTTCTTGGCAATCAATGTGATTCTCCTCCCAAGTGTTCACTTGATCTTTGAGGTTATTGATGACGGCTTGCAGCCTCGCTTCATTGTCGCTTAGAAGGTCACGCTCTGCTTCGAGCCTAGTAATCACAACGTTTGTAGCATCTGTGAGAACGCCAGCGCGAGTCATGCTTTCTGTGGGCGTTACTTGCCTTCGGCTTCTCGTCTTCCATCAGCAGTTGCCTTCTCGATTATTTGCCGGACGAGCTTGTTCTCTCTGACCAGGGTATCCAGTTTCTTCATCCCTTTCAAGATTTCTTCTCGGTCCTTTGACCACTGTCGTTGAGCAGCTCGTGCTTGCGTAAGCTTGGTGCTGGCCTCGTGAACATTATCATGAATCTCGTCCTCTTTATCAGAGGAGTTTTTTATGTCGTAGGACGTGAGGAGCGCTCCGAGTTGATGGTCTTTCACCATGCTGAGACAGTGTGGTGTGTGGTGGGTAGGGTGTGTGATAAGAAGAGAGGGGAGAGAAAACTGTTTATTGCCTTCCTTGTGCGTCTGCTTGACGCCAAGCTTTAAGGGTCTTTCACCGTGAAAGCGTCGAGTAAGCGGCGCTGCTGTCATGGCTTCGACTATTGCCGAAGATAACGGCTCTATATCTCCGCCTTGAAGCTTTAGCATGAAGCTGATTTGTCGTACATGGCTTAACATCATTGCCGACACGTCTCTTTAATCGACATTGGCTTGAATATCCTCGGGATCACTCGAGGTGACAGAAATGCCTTCATCCCAATGTAGCCCCAAGTTACTCGCAAACTTGGCCACTGTGATGCTCCGTCTATCTATGACTCCCTCCAAACTGCTAAAAGTTTTGACATTCAATTTTTTAGTGGGCACTATTATTATGTACAGGCGAAGGGGCATCTCAATCTTCCTTCATACTATGAAACATAGTTATATAGTGATCTTCATTCCACCAGCCCATCAAAAGCCCTTACCACGCTCTTGTGTTTACTCCTTCTCCTCCTCTTTTTTTTCAGCATTCCTTTTCCTCGTCAGATACGCTTGCACCATCTCCGCCATTTCTTTCATGTCCTCGTCAATTATTTCAACATTCTGCTTTGCCATGAGTAGGAGAGAATCGAGATCCTTTTTCTTGAGAACACCCTTGTCCGTATTTCCGGCAGGCCCGGTCTGAGTTGCACTGGGTTGCGGTGCAATAGGGGTAGCCACCTCAGGATGCTGCACCGTACCCGATCTTGCTCTGGAGAAGACGCGTGAGAGAGAATTACGCCTTTCTTCGCGCTTTTGTTGAATGTCAAGTAATGTATGCCAGACCTCCCATTCGCGGTTTCGGCATTGGGTCAGAATCCTGGTGTTGAAGTCCACGGTTCGCCCCAGCTCAGTAATTTCGTTTCTGAGCCGCAATATTTCGACATCCAGATCATCGATCTCGCGGTCTTTTTGCTGGAGATATGTGCTGAGTTGCGGTACGAGATTGTCCTCTAGTCCGGCGATACAGTCTTGGAGCCCATAGATGGTGGTAGTGAGTTTCTTAATAAGACGTGCGTGTGTCTCGAACTCAGATTGAGATGAGGTACTTACGGGCGCTGTCTCATGGACTATCTGGTAGTGCAGCGCTAGTTCTGGCGATGTGAGGAGGGAACGTAGCAACGCAGATACCTGTTCCGGTACTAGATTGGGAGGAAACGGAGAACGCGGGCGAGGGTCAGGGGCAGTGTCACTGAAGCTACTAGAGCTTGACGGTGGGTAGTACCCTGGCGGAACACCATTCGTCAATGCAACATGACCTCTACCCTGCCCTCCTCGTAAAAGCCAGTTTGAAGGCGATGGGTCACGATAGAGTGTGCCATTTGAGCTTGCATGACTATGATGCTCAGAGCGAGTACCATTTGGCAGCCGCTCTTCGTATCGCAGCTCTTTTTCCTGAGGCAATCGTGCATGAGGTATCTGTACCGCATCAATGCGGTCATAAAATGCACTTGCAGCGATTGGGTAGCTGAAATTTGGCACAAGACCGACGTCCGCAGGGATAAGAGTCATCTCTTGGTGTTCTGATCCTCCAATGGTGGAGCTACGCTTCGCCCTTTCCCTAACCGAAGCTCTTGTCGCAGGGTCGACTCCCTCATGGGACAGAATACTCTTCAATGCTGGTTTCCATGCCAGTGATTGCGTCGGTCCAGCTTGGATCGATGGGGTATCGAGCGATTTTATTGGGGTGCTTGTCGGGATCGGCGGTACAGGACATCCCAATTGAGGTTCTGAACGAACATAGATGTTATGGAATCGTAAAGGGACCTGTGATCCGGTCACAGCTGTTGATTCTGATAAGACCGGGGCGCTCGAAGCGGCGAGATCCTCATCAGACTGCTTACGGTCATCATCAGGATATATGTGGTAAGGATTATCTAAAGGGAAGTCCATGAATCTGTCCCAATCCTGTGTGCCGGGTGTGATCGGTCCTCGAGGCGGCGATGGCGGCCTCGGGGGCGATTGCATGTTACTTGAGGGCTTATCACGCGCTGGTGGGAGATTGATGCTATTTTGCCCCTTGCATTCTTTCGGGCCCTTTGCATTCCTCAAAGCGGCCATCCATTCGCTAGGCACGGGTTGTGTAGAGGGACCTTTATCATCGCTGCCATTTGGACGCTGAGTTGGGGTCCTGTGAATCTCTTGCCTCAGCTCTCCATCGGGTGGGCCAATATATCTTGGCTCGGAATCCGCTGCTAGCATGACACTGTTGAAATACAGTTGATCTTTTGGATATAAACACCCCCTGTATGGACCTCTGTCAATGATCACAGGAAGACTGTCTGTAGAATTGCTAGCTCTTGGTCCTACCCGCCCATCGTCCAGATCATTTTCGATCTTGTCCAGTGTTCTTTGCTTCTCCTTCTCCTGTTGCCTCTGAAGCTGTTCAGGCGTAAGAGGAGGCGCTGCAATCGTATAATAGTGGGTAGGACGCCGGAATGGATGCGCTAGTCTCTGACAGAGTGTTTTCATTTCTACGGCTCTGGGGAAAAATGATTTGGTGTTACGGATGCTGGAAGCTTTGAACAGGCTAGAAGTATGAATCCAAGTGTTTGGCAAGAATCCATGATGTATTGTTTGATACTACCCTGTGGTCAATTGTGAACAAGCGCCGTTTGTGCCTGCGCTGGCACATAGTTCTGCTTCCAAGGACAATCGCGTGGATGTGATTGACGACGGAAGCGTTTGAACCCATTAAGGTTGATGCGTCACAACGTGGGAGCCGTAAAGCAAGGAGAAACGGCCATTCGAAGACTATTAATAAGCACTAAGAGCACTTGCAGATGGGATGTGATATCGAACTGAAACTGCAGGTTGTTGTATTACCAACTGTTATCGCTTGCAAATATAAACTATGTGTAGTCTCTTCATCTGAGCCACGTACTATGAAGACAGGATCGTTGTTCGGGGTATGTAACAATCGTGAATGCGCCATGGTAAAAGAGATCCGCTCCATGGCTATGCAATCGCAACAATGCAGGTAAAACGCCCCCATGCCGTGGAATCGTGAACCGTAACGCCGAAGATCCTTAATATTTTCTTTTTGCTTTGGCTGCCATTGCTGCTAGCCTCTTCTTTCGTTCCTCTTTCTCTTTCTTGAGTCTATTCTCTTCTGCCAAAGCTTCAGCATCCTCCTTCTTGGCAGCCTTAAGTGCCAACTGCTCTTCCTCTTCCACATCCCATATGCCTCCCTCCATAGCCGAAGAACCGTCGGAGTCATAGTCCTCTTCTTCATCATCTTCCATGTCGTCGAGGTCATCCCAATCTGCATATCCGTCATAGCGACCCTTGGCTGGATTGGGTTTTGGTTTTACAGCTGGCGTGCCGTTGCGACTCGACGTTACAGGTGCACTAGAGGGACGAGCGGTGCCTTTGTAGCCAACTTCAACAGGCTTACGAGCCGGCCGTGCAGTGCCTTGATAACCTACTTCGACTTTCTTCTTCTCTTTGGAGGGATCCACCTTGGGATCCGCAGGCTTTGACGGTAGTCCAGCGACAGGCTTCTTGCCTTTTACTCCTGCTTCTGCCTTGAGCGCCAGTCGCTCCTTCCGCGTTAAGATTTTTGTAGGCTCATGTTTGATCGGTGGTGCCACAGGTTTGCTGGCATCCTTCTCTTTGGCCTTCTGGAGCATGGCCAGATATCCTTTCTTGGGTGCGGCATTCGAGGCGGGGGCGGGGCCGGCGGCTGCCGGAGCAGGCTTGGGAGCAGGCGCCGGGGCCTTGGTTGTAGCAGCGGGTACGTTTGATGACTGTAGAGGCTTTCGGATAGGTGGGTTTGCTGTTTTCGAAGACGAGGGCGCAGCGGTTCCGCGGTAAGGGACGGAGGTGGTAGGCGTAGATGAAGAAGGTCTCGACGTGGCAGGTGACGACGTGGCACGAACCGCGCCATTTGCCTGTGCTATTCCACCAACCGCCTCTTTCCTCTGCACCTTTGCCTGTCCATTCTCAACGGGACCCGATGCCTTTCGCTTCAACTGCGGTGCTTGGGGTGCGCCGTTCGCCCCTCCAACCGGTCGCGGCGCTGGTTTAGGGGCACTGCCAAGCGGACCTTGCTTTGATGCTGTTGCTGCGGACCTCGCGCTCGGGTCGATTATCGACATGATGTCTTTGAGTGACTGGAAGACACGGTCAGCACACGGGAGATGTCGCGGGCGGTCTGTTGCAGCTCACGCTCATGGTAGGCAACTGATAAGCGTTTGACTCAGTGTTACCGCTCGTCGATTCGATTGGAGGGCAAGTTGTACATGCTTTCCTAGTAAAAATCGCCGGTAGTGATAGTCGGCGGAGGGTGGTCGCGCGCGCAGAGAGAAGGCGAGGTACACGGGACCGGTGGATTAGAATGGACGGCCAGAGAATGAACGGACAGCGACGGCGCAGACGGGCCTGTTTTATACCTTGGCTTTGCGCCTAGTCAGCCTTCACGTGATGATACGGTCATCGCGCGCTAGTCCGACTGTGGAATGGCTTGGGTAGCGAGATCCCACCTTGAGTCAATATTCTAGGACCAGGAACTTTTTCTTTTCGACAACCACAGCGAGAACTTGTAGATTCAGTCTCCGGCCACAAGCGGTACGTACTTACTGTTGTTTGCGCCCAACGACACAATACTGACAGAAGCAGGTTAAATCGATTGAACTCCTGTTCCTTTCCACCGAAACCACCAATTTACCATCACAATGAAGCACCTCGCTGCGTACCTCCTCCTCGGCCTTGGTGGTAACACCTCGCCTTCCGCCGAAGATGTCAAGGTATGATGGTTTCCAGAGGTCTTTTTTCAATCCGGATTCTAATGAAATTTAGTCTGTCCTCAGCGCCGTTGGTATCGAGGCTGATGACGAGCGCCTCAACAAGCTGATCTCCGAGCTTGAGGGCAAGGACATCAACGAGCTCATCGCCTCTGGATCCGAGAAGCTCGCTTCCGTTCCCTCTGGTGGCTCCGGTGGTGGCGCTGCTGCCGCCGCTGGTGGTGCTGCCGCTGGCGGTGCCGCCGCCGCCGAGGAGGCTCCCGCCGCCAAGGAGGAGGAGAAGGAGGAGTCCGACGAGGACATGGGTTTCGGTCTCTTCGACTAAGCGTGTCGCCAATCCATCTCTGTTTACGATGTATGATCCGGCCAATTTCTCAAAAATCACGAGAATCATGCGCAACGAGTCCGAGCATTTGGGGCGTGTCGAGCGCGCGATGGATGGGATATGGAGAAAGATTGTGCGGCAATGCTTTCATAGCTGTCTGCTGAGATACCCATAATGAAGCCATGCACCCTCAATTATATCGATGTTGTGACTTCCTTCAGTGTGACTATGTGTCTGTGCACCTTACACTGGTGCATACATGTTGAGAGTGAGAGCAGAAGGTGTACTTGGTGACTATTCAGGTGTTCAATTCTACAAATGGATTAGCATATGAACATCATAGTGCTCGAAGTCAATGGCCTGGCTGCTGTAGTAATCTTGGGCAGTTACTTTCGGCCCAGTTGAGAGTTTTGATCTTCAATGAAAGCTGCAGCACTGATTGTAATCTACCTTTGAGGAGCAAGATCTTGTTTGCATGATCGGTACACAACACTGCCTCGCAAAATTACGCGACAATTCAGCTAAGGTTTACTATTCGTTGCAAGTGTGAACATAGTGATGTTGGTGTTGGTCCAGCTGCGCATGGACGTAGTGGCACGCTAACGGCTCGCTTAAGCGAGGCAGGCAACACCTCGAAATTCCCTTTGCCCATCGATAATTGAACGACCGACAACCCACGACCTAACGAAGTTCCCCCCATCAGCTACTTCGACAACCGCAAACATGGCTGACGCTGACTACGATCCCGAGGCCGCAGCTGGTACGCATTCCTGTCCCATTCCCTAGCCTCTCTCCCGCATTCGCAGCGACATATGGGCATATTGATGGCAGAGCATGGCTAACGAGATGAACAGCCCTCAAGGCCAAGAGGGCGTTCCGCAAGTTCTCTTACCGCGGTGTCGACCTTGACCAGTACGTTTCCGATTCCTTCGACACTCCCCCACGCTGGAGATCGACATAAATGATAGCGGTATTCTGATTGCGATGCAGGCTCCTCGACCTCGGCTCTGAGGAGCTCCGTGACCTCGTTCATGCCCGCGCCCGCCGCAGGTTCAACCGCGGTCTCAAGCGTAAGCCTATGGGTCTCATCAAGAAGCTTAGGAAGTCCAAGCGTAAGGAACACAGTTGGTTTGATGGACAGGAGAAGATGGCTAACATGGCGCAGAGGAGGCCCGCCCCAACGAGAAGCCCGACCTCGTCAAGACCCACCTCCGTGACATGATCGTTGTCCCCGAGATGATTGGCAGCGTTATCGGTGTCTACTCCGGAAAGGAGTTCAACCAGGTCGAAATCAAGCCCGAGATGGTCGGCCACTACCTCGCAGAGTTCTCCATTTCATACAGGCCAGTCAAGCACGGAAGGCCCGGTATTGGTGCCACTCACTCTTCCCGTTTCATTCCTCTCAAGTAAACGACTGGGTTATGGTTGCATGGGTTCTTTAGTGGGGCGGACAATGTACTTGACGACCTACAACGAATACAGGTGTTAGGTGCATTTACTCTCGATGGCTATGACGTACACAAAAAGACGACGGCGAGCATGAGGATATGGTGTAGATTACCATCCATCAGATTCGAGATACCTCCACATATGTTCTTTTGTACAAGCTGTGTGATATGAGTTGTGAATAATGCTTTTGACGACTTTTGTGGTCTATTTTGAGTGCAAGATGGCAAACGACATGATCAAGTGTGGAAATAATCAAATTGGGTATTCTATTATGCATGAAGAGACTCGAAAACCATATCCGCCCGCTACCTTCCAAGACGCATCTCGACCTTAGCGAAATTGTACAGGGCTCGGAGGAAGACTTGATAGTTGACACCCTTGTTGTCTGGCAAGTGACTGTGAGGAATTGTTAGTGCTGGGTCTCACAAAAAAAGCAACAAGCGAGTTAACTTACAATATCTCGGTCAACCTCAGCTGCCATGGTGGGTAGCCCTTCAATTGAACCGTTGGACTGAACAGGATAAGCAGATCTGGCTCGCTGGATACGTGGTCGTTTAGCTGTGCATCGATCAAATCCATGTTGATCTGCTCTTGTCGCACGTCACCCTTTTGCGCCATTTCAGCCAGGGTGCGAGTCAAATCGACAATGGTATCTCGGCCGTCGTGTTCCGACAAGAGGAGTACAGTGAGGTGCTGGCGTTCTTCCTTGAGGTTTGGATCATTTGGCTCAGCCAGCTGAGGGGGCGTGTCCGGTGGTGAGTAGGAGCTCAGATGTGGAGCGCGGAGAGAGAGGGTGGGCTTGCGTTTTGGGCCAAAGTATGCTTCGAGTGTGCTCCAGATACTGGCGTGGGTTTGGGGCAGGTAGTTCTTGAGGACGCCTATCTCGCTGTTAGCACTTGAACAGACGTTTTCTACATGTGTTTGTAGATTTTGCTAGCTTACCAGTTCGCTCGTAGATGCTGAGAAACGGAATTCCAGCACTTGCTGCCCAAGCCGCTATCTCGCAGACGTCGTTTACGAGACCTTCCAGCCCAGCATTTCCCTGACTTCCATCGTCCTCTTGGTATTCTACAATCACACTCAGGTGCTTTGGTAGTTTCTCCAGGTTCTTTACGTCGTGCGCTATGAACTCTGGTGTGCGATGATGATATTTCAAGAGTGAGATGACTTTTCCCCGTACAAGCCGGTAGGCGCGTCGAAAGCGGAAGAAGATGCTGAAGAGTAGAGCGACGATATGGTAGATGGTGAGGTGGAGTAGTGCTTTGACCGGACCGACGAGGGGTTTGCGGTGATGTTGCTGGGATGCGCGTTGGCGGCGTTCACGGAGGGCCTTCTTCTTCTGCGCCTGTGTATCACTATCTGAAATGTCGGTAGGAAGAAAAGGCTTGAGCAGTTCCTCGCGTTCCTGGGCAGAAAGCTCCTTGCGCCGGAAAGCCGACTCCTGTTTGGATGATAGACCGGTGACAGCAGCCATTGCGGACGACGTGCTGAGCAAAGGGGTACACGACGAGCCAAACCGTCGATGGCTACACACGTGAAATCAGAATAGAAGCTGATAAGTATAAAAAAGAAGAGTCAATGCGCGCGTTAGCTGGCCATGGTCGGGGGGTGGGCAGATGTAAGATACATGAAATATCCCTGTGAGGCTGGTGCATATGCATACGTGTGGCGCCGTCTCTTCCGAGCGTAAGCCAAGGCGTATACGCGCATGTTGCCGTGCTCCGCCCTGCGCAGTGGCGCTATTACGCGGAAGCTTTCGCAAGAGATGTGAGGCTGTTCAACAATCGCAGCTCTAATTTAGGCATCTGTGTACAACAGCCGAAGGGTGCAATGGCATCATAGCGCATGGGGTTGCCCGTGGTTTGATTCGGCGGGCGCTTCTGCAATGCGCCAGGGACCGAGGCGTGGGGTGCGACAAGCCACAGTCGCGACTTCACTCGTCCCTTCTACTACCAGGTGCACATACACCCTGGACCGGGAATGCTTTCTCACGAACACCGCATGCACCATACCAAGGCATGATCTGGTGGCAGCCCTGTGCAGCTTGATGCTTTGCGACAGTACCAGCAACCTCAGCCCAAAGCCAGTCCAGGCGGCATTGGCTCGCTGGGTAGCAACGATACACACACCTGCTTTACATACCACTTGAATGATACCTAGTCCTTGAACTCCGGCCTGTGCCTTGCTCACAATCATGCAACGCGTCAGCTCCGATGGCGCTTCTATACTCACCCACCAGACCTCGAGGACCTCTATACGCATACCGCAATTCACCCTAGAGAAGTTCGCCGTAAGCTGCCGCCCAACTCTTTGGTCTTTCCCGTGCTGACTCACGCAGAGCAAAGACTTTCTAGTCAAGGATTTTATCGAAGACCTTTCCCAGGCCGCTGTACCTGCGACACGACGATCCGGAGGCGCTGGCGGGCAGCAGACGTTCGACCCAAAACCACTTATCCGAACCTTTGAACATGCCCTGAGAAGCCTCAACAGTCTATCCGAGGACCTTGAGGAGAAGGAGACAGATCTCTCTGGAGCCGTCCGGCGGGCAGAACTCCAACACAACCAGAATGTCGAGTCCTTAGGGAGGCGGCTGGAACAGGCCATGGATAGATTTCAGAGGCTGGACAACTCGCTGAACGGAAACGATGATGGGGGATCAGATACGGGTGGCAACGTTGCCATGCGCATAGGAGAGCGGCTCGAAGAGCTTGATCGCCAACGGAAGAGGGCTCTAGACGCAAAGTTCCTGATTGAGTGCTGGCAAGAGGTCAGCGAACGAGGCGAACTCATGATTCTTGAAGACCAACGGAAGAACGGAGATATCGTACGATGTGCGGAAATCGCGCGCCAGCTTCTGCGCATTAGCACACGCCTTGATCCAGACGGCAGTCAACGAGTCAACGGCGATGTACCGAACGGGATGAAACGCAGGACGACACACCAGCCGAGGCACAACACCAAGGAGGTCATTGAGAAGTTCCTCGAGAACTTGGAGCAGGATCTTCTCAGCAAGTTCCAGGAATGCTACGCGCGTCCCAACTACCCTGGGATGCGTGACTGTGCTATCGCTCTCAAGGGTTTCAATGACGGTGCAAGTGTTATTGGAACTTATGTCAACCAACATTCATTCTTCATTGACCGCATGCAGTTGAGCGGTGAGGATCTTGGTACAGATTTAGAGACATGGGATCGCCTCCAAGATCCTGATGCCGAACCGCCTGGCGTGGAACCGACGCTTCAGTCTTTGATTGATGAAGTCAAGATTGTCGTCCAAGAAGAATCCACCATTATCAAGCGAGCGTTTCCATACTACGAAGAAGTCCTTATCAAGTTTCTCGAACGCATCTTCCAGCAGTCTATTCAGTCCAGGCTCGAGATGGTGCTCGACAAAGCTGGAGATCTTTCGTCACTTGCTTTCCTGCGTTCGCTACAGGCTTCAAGAAGTTACATTACTCAACTCGTGGAAGACCTCAAGACACACGGTTTAACAGAGCATCCTGAACCTGCTACGTCAGCGGTTGCGGCTACACTTGACCAACAACTCGAGGAATTATTTTCCTCATACTTTATCGGTGAGAAGTACATTGAACGAGAGAAGAAGAACCTTGAGGAGCTGTACTCTTCGTTGCTTCTCAAATTTACCATCTACCACTCGCGACGAAGCAAGATGCCTACCTCATACTTTGGTTCGCTCGCGCAAAGAGGCAAGGAGCTGGCTGCATCTGCTCGTGACAAGTACATGGAGCGTCTGGAAAGCACCGAGCTACCAGCTAGTCAGAAAGCTACTCTCCTCCGTATCGCTGGACTGAAAGAAGACCAGCAAGAGAAGAAGGATATCGAGGTCACTGATGAGGATGGTCGGCTGTCACTACCAGTAGCCAAGCGAATGCTCAAGTGGCTAGCAGAAGGTGTCGGACGTGGACTGGAGCTGTCACCTGGCAACGAGACACCAAAGGACGTGCAAATACTGCTTAATTTGCTCCTGAGGCAGATGGGCGAAATGTATTTGGAGACGGCCCTGGACGCGTAAGTATCGTCTCTATCCCGATTTAGCATGTCAACTAACGTCAATGTAGTGCACAAGATCACGCCGCATCGCAGGAAAACTCCAAGACACTACCAGATCTCACCCACCTCCCCTCTCTGCACACCATTACCACAATGCTGCATCTCCTACAACAAACCACTACTACAATCCTCCTGCCTTTATGCACACCCAACCTTACCATTCGTCGCGAGATTGAAAAGTCTATTAATCAGACAATGGCCACACTTGAGGCGAAACTCTCCAATATCCTTAATCTCACAATAACCGCCTCACTGAATTGGGTTAGCAAATGCCTTGCCCAACAAAAGAAAACAGACTTTCGGCCAAAGGAGGAAGACCTTATGGTAACAAGCGAGACCCAAGCATGCCGTGAGGTCTCTGCGTTCCTTGCACGTGTTGCATCTCAGGCCACCTCCGCCCTATCCGGTCGCAACCTCTCGCTCTTCCTTGCTGAGCTAGCGCGTGGTCTCCGCTCCCTCGTCTTAGCTCACCTACTGAAATTCTCCATTTCACAAGTCGGTGGTCTCAGCGTATCGAAGGATATGAACCAGTATGTTGAATTGGTGCGAGCATGGCCGACGGGCGATGAGCTGGAGCCTGGTGCTATGGATGTTTTGACAGATGTTAGCACATTGTTTATTATTGGGCCAGAGGCACTCAGAGATCGTTTGAGGGCTGCAGGTGGACAGGATGCGCAGGAATTGAAGGGTTTCATTGCTAGGAGAGATGATGTGGGAACTGTCGGTGTGCAGAGTGTGCTCAATGGAGTATAAGGTAATAGGAAATTTACTTCGTGTCTAAACAGTAATAGCAAATTCAAGCTTGCTATGTGGCTCAGCGCGTTCCCCATGTTGCTTTCAGATGTTGTCTGTGAATATGTAGGGCTTTGTAGCCTGGATACAGAATGCATGGGCCTCGTCATGTTCACTGAGGGTTTTATCTCCTGGTTGTTCTGGTGGGCACAGAGGTGGGTTACGAAGCTGCAGATTCATTTGGCAACGTCTCTTCTGTCCCTCTTGCTGGAAAATGAAATTGAAAATTCCAATAAACGTTGGTGCTCAGTTGATCTGCTTACTATCTACTGCATAGTAGACATTCTTCCATTCGTATCCTGCTGAAAACAAAATGGCAAACTTTGCACATTTTGACTTGAACAACTATTCTATGATGCATAAGCAGTGATGACCAACTCATTACGATGCTTGACCAAAAACTTACGGGGATCCTCTGTTCAGGTAATTACCAGTTGTGGGGTCACATACTCGCCGATAGAGTGAGAGTGCTGGGCCTCAGGCATCGCTTGAGCACCACCCTACGCACTTTCCGTCAGTCTGGCTCTGACGTCAGGACTAGCAGTAATGGAAATAACCACCCGGAAAGTTCTTCATGCATGATGATCGGTTACGACACTTTCAGTGCTTTCATCTGGTCGTGCAACGCCAGCCCAGTTCCGACGACATATTCAGCAGACTTCTCACTGATGTCTTCGCCATGCACCACAATCCTGGCTGTATTCCTCATGCAATGCACGCCCACAAAGAGCCAGTGTAACTACCAATATTGTTAGGGTATCAAGATGAACGGCAGTATCTCTTGTTCATACTAAGTGCTATGCAAGGTCAAGAGCAGTTCCTCTACGCCTACAATGGACAACATTGTCTTGGTGAGTACTATGGAGGGCCGGGAGTATATATAGTTCCAACTCTGTCCCTTTTTCGGATCACACTAAGCCAGGATAGTCTACAATATCCTTAGATAGCTGGACAAGACTAAGGGTACTTTCCTCTGTATACGGTGCGACGAAGAAGCCATGAAGCACCTTTCACATATACAGTAAGGTCTGCTCGACCTTGGCCCCCATGGAATACAGTCAGGTACTAGTATCATCCCTGGATACCCCTCTACATTCTGAATATACAGGAATGGAAAGTAAGATATCCTCAACCCAAAATTCTTGATCATATATCTGTATCATTAGCTTCAGGCCGCCCTTAGAACAACGCTGCAAAGATCACCACGCATCAGCAGATTATCGATACCTTCCTTCGCTAGCTTTCACTTTCACTGATTTGGCCTCATCGATTCCATATTGTTCGAACCTCTTCCTAGTGAGGAGTGAGAAGCAACAAACACACAGTCCGTGCGTATATAATAGCAAAAGCCAGTCTCGTTCCGTCACTACAACCATCCACCACAGCCATCCACAGCAATCATGGATGAAGACGAACGAAACCTCCCCTGGGAGGAGCTCAATGTGTTCCGCGAAGAGCGAGAGAAGCTCAGAGAGAAGTTAGATGACGTCACTCGACGATTCCGAGAGAGCTTTGCGCCTCTGAACAAACTCGTACAGAGTGTCAAAGACAACTTGAAAGCGAACGAGGAGGGTGACAAAGAACATAGGAAATGGGCGAAATCTTGTCGGGAGTATACAGAAGCGCGTCAGCGTCAACGTATTGTGAACCCAATATATGATAAGGACGATACCGTGGCGAAGCAGTTGTTCGCCGATGTGACTGACTACTTGGAACATATCCAGCGGGAGCGGAATGAAAGAGCGCCGTCAATGCCTGTTGGACACGTCTTGTTCAGACCTAGAGAGTAAGTCACTTCTACGAGAGGCTTGGGCTCGCAGCGCCAGCTAACATGCGTTGGTAGTGAGTTGCCGCTGCCGCGAGTTTCTAGTCCGACTAGGGCAGCACGGCCTGACACTTCTCAACATGATGACAATCACTTGGTAACAAGCCCAAGTCAGTCTGTTCAGCCATTTCCGCCAAGCGCTCTTTCGTATGCACCGCAGTCGACTATGACATCGTCTCCTTCTCCATTCGATGGACGTCACTCCTCTATATTCGGGGATGCCTTGGACTTCAATCGTCCGCTCCAGTTATCTGGACGTTCCAACCTCGATACCACCTCCAACATCTCGGGGTCGCCAGTCTTCTATTCAGGCCAAATGAGGCCATATAGTCCGTCCCTGATGGGGAATACTACAGAGCTACAGGCCTAAGAGGGCTATGAAAAGAGCGCGACAGCTTGCGAGGAAACATTCAATGAGAGCGATAGCTCGAGACAATTAGGATCCCAAGGGGGATTTTTTCAACCTGGGCAGATCCGGACAGGTCGCCCGACTCCTTTGCTACAGGCGTGTAGTAGTCATACAGAAAGCGAGGGTACCATCTCGCCAGACCAATCACCTTCCATGGGGACATCTTCACACATGGTGCCACCAGGGGTAACACCAGAATCAATAGGCACAAGTCAGATGACCTCCAAGGGGGCCCGTTACATATCGAATGCTTCGGTGCCCATAGAGGACAGAGGGCAAGAGCCTAGATGGAGGAAACAATCCGAGGTGGACGAGCATCTTGCGTCGGCCCTCCTTTTACGATTCTACAACTTCTTCTCGCATGACGCCGTTGAGGTGGAACAATGGGAAAGCTATCCTGCAGAAGAGCACTCATGTATTTTGACCTACGTAGTAGGTGGAGGAAAAGACAAATCCGAGTGGAGGAAGGCGATGAGGGTTTGTGACCAATGCGCCAAGGCGAACCGACCTTGTGTCAAGATTGTCGAGATTGACGGAGTTGAAACGCTGTGTTTTCACGCGTTGTCAAAGAACGATAGGGGTGATGCTGCAGACTGGCGGCAGGTGGACATGTATATTAGAAGATGAGGATGGCTTTTCCGTCCTGGTACTGTATTCATGTGCATGAGATGAAGACATGGAGGTGAAGCAAAGAACAATGTCAAACCCCCTTCAATTTCTTAGGTGTTTTTGTACAAAAATTAAGCCGAGAAAATTAAGTCGAGTAGTGAGATAGAGACGGAATTTGAACCCCCCTTACTAAACCAACCATGATGGAATTGATATTATATACATTGAACCATGTATTAGAAAATGCACCACTCAATCGATTAATCGCTACGATTACAGCAGCATGCCCACAGCAGACGACAATGCCATGAAGCCAAACACCACCAACCCAGCCTTGGACGCCGCACCCTGCCCACCCGCAACCGCATTCGCCGCGCTCTGAGCCGTCGTCGCCGTAGGTCTTGCACTGACAAGCGTCGTATCCGCCTTGGTAGCGCTCGCACTACTTCTACTCTGACTCGCTCCCGAACTCTCACTCTTGGGCTCGCCTCTCTGATCCTCGGGCGAACTGCACACAACAATCTTGTTCCTCTTACTCAGACACTCTCCAATCTCCAGGAAACTGCGCTGTTCGCTTGCATAGCAGATAGAGGTGCAGGGTAAGGTGGCGCCGGTAGCGGTCATCTTGCCCGTCTTGCAGCAGTCGTACATGTCCCAGAAGGAGTGGTCGTTGACGGATTCCACGTTGCTGATTACGCAGCTGCCGAGTTTGCCGTCGGGGCGGACGTAGGGCACGTCGGGATTGGACGAGGGGGCGTTGGATGGGACGGGGCAGGCGCTGGATGGCAGACCGCCCCATGGGAACATTGAGGGTATGGCCGTTGGTGTTGTGAAGGGCTCGGGTGACGCATTGGTGAATGTGGTGTAGGAATAGGTATAGGTTGTGCTTGGCGCTGAGGTAGTAGACATGGAGGTAGTCATGGCTGCGGTTGGCGACACGGCAAGATGTGGCTGTTGTTGAGTCTGATATTGTGGCGCAGGTGCAGTCTATTGCAAGGCCGAATATGTAGTGTAGAAAGAAAAGAGTGGATGCGCGCTGGGGTAGAGAGGTCGATATATGACAGATGTGCAAGGGACAGACAGGGCTGAAAGGGGTGGGTGATTATGAACTGGAAATAGCAGCGTCAGCGGTAAAGTACGGAGACCTCCTCCCCCCCTCCCCCCTCCCTCGTGTTACTACGCCTAATATATGGGATACGTTTGACACACGGCATCCAAACGGGCAAAAATACGGACCAAGGGGCTAGTGAATTGGACCTCCCAGCGCTGCAGACTGGTTGCGGCAAACACGAGAGGGCCAGGAAACAGGGGCTGGGCCGAAAGGAAAACGGCACGCCAAAGGAAGCTAGCCAGATGCTGATTTATCGAATTCCGAAGCTTAGTTGGGTGGGGTCAAGGCTCGCCTGCGTAAGCATTCATAAGTATAGCAACAACCCGAAAAGAAAAACGCACTACCCGAAAGGCTCATATGCTATTCATTTGTCCAGAAGCATGAGTTGAAGTAGTAAAAGAAAGAAGTGGATCTGTTGCTCGACCTGCAGTGACATGGGTTCGCGGATACGCGCCATGGCTCGGTTAACATCTTGGCGACAGGGCTACTCCACCCTGCCCTACCCATCGACTGTATCCTTTGTTTCAGTCTACGTTTGGTTCTCTACGCATGGAGCGTGTAGGTATGACATGTCTAGATACCCAAGGCCCCACATGTTATTCTGTGACTCAATAAGTAACTCAAGCCACTTCACGTAATACGGATCAACCCATTCAGCTCCAACCTTATTGCTTACAAGGACTACCCTAATTCTATCAGCCACACGGCAATCCATGTTCATCTCAGAAACGTCGTCAGCAACTGGCAGTTTCGAAATAAAAAGATCGGTATTCATCTTTGGTATCATAGCTACTATCTAAACAACATATTATCATCATGCTAACATTACTCCATCTCCTGAGGCCACCTATGCCTTTTCATCGATATCTATTGTGTGCTGACCGTTTACACTGTTCTTGCGCATGGCCGGGTCCTTGTCCACATCCTGGTCAAGCTGGTTCATCTCGTCTTCAATGTCGTTGAGGTGGTGGAAGATGATCCAAATCAAGGCACCTGCAATGAGGGCAGCGATGGCGAGACCAGCAAACACCCACATGATGGCGGGATCGTATAGGAGCGGGTTTAGCGCCTCGGAAATGGCAGAACCGAAAGCGTTGGTAAGGAGGTACATGGACTGAACAAATGACTTCATGCCAGGGGGCGCTTTGGTGTAAGCGTACTCGAGACCAGTGACTGAGGCGAAAATCTCGGAGAGACCGATGAGAATGTAGGCACCAGTCTGGGCTGCAATGTGAATGTTGTTTCCCTGGTGTACACCGTCCACGAGATCGGCATCGCAAAGGGTAGGCTTGCCGTAGCAGGGACCGGCTTGGTAGATGTAATATTGGATAACGCAGGCGTAAACCATAGCCAAAGCAGCGATCCAGAAACCAGTGACAATACGGTTGATCGGCGGGAAGCGGATCTTGTATTTGCGGAGGGTGGGCATAAGGATTTGGTCAACCAGAGGTAGGAAGACGATGATGGCAATGGGATCAAAGTTCTGCATCAAATCGTTGGGAATGCCGTGGCTGCGCATTTGACCGGCCTGGGTGACGAAGTTGGTGGAGAAGTTACCGTAGATGACCCAGTAGATTGGGTAGAACGCAAAGACCTGGCAAGCGACAAGGGCACGCTTGACTTCCTCGACGAAGTGGTCGTCCCAGCGGAGGCTTGTGTCCCTGCCGAGACCAGCCTGGAAGGAGGGCTTGGGAGCGTTCATGTTGCGGTTCTTGATCATCATGAAGATTACGCGGAACGCGTTCGTGATGACGGAGCCCTGAGGAGGGCGGACAACGTAGACTTTGCGGCCAAGGACGAGGACAAGAAGGCCGACGAAGAAGACGCAAAGACACAAAAGGTATGCGGGCCAGAAGTCAATATCGCGTTCCATGTAAGGCGTGGCAAGCAGCGAGAGAGATCCGGCGTTAATGCACCAGTAGAAAATCATGTAGATTCTCTGAATGGTAATGGCAGGATCGATAATGACACGCTCACCAGTCTTGTCATCGCGACCAATGACCATCTGTCTTCGCTTGTACTGATCGGCAATCAAAGGCGCAACGTTGGACTTGATACCTCCAGTTCCTAGTCCGATGATAATAATGGACACGATGAAGCCTCCAAGGCCTGCACCACTATCGAGCGCAGCAGGGATAGAGGTGCAGGTAAGGATGATCAGTCCGACAATGTAGACGCAGCAGAAGATGACAATCGTGTTGTACTTTCCGAGGTATTGATCGGCGATGATGGCACCAAGAATCGGAGTGACATAGCACCAAAACTGGAAGAAGGTGGAAAGACCAGTGGCTCCCTGGTGTCCCATGCCCAGAGCACCGCGACCTTGCTCTCCACTGCGAGGACGAGCAATGTAGTTTTGGAAGATACCAGAGGCGCCATAGTAGGTGAAGCGCTCGCAGAGTTCGACAATGGCAACCAAGAAAGCGCTCTTGGGGAGGGGTTCTCCGACTTTGCGGAGGGTAGCAAGATCCTCGGCGGTAGGCTTGACACCACCGATGCCATCTTCCTCAACAATGATAGAAGCGGAGTCGGAGCCGTCAACGTGAGGCTTCTCGAGAGAAGTATGAGCGCCGGCGACATTGGAATCATTAATGGTAGCACCGTAGACATGGGGCTTGTGGTCAGCAACCTCTTGGTTGTGCTGGAGTGCCTCGGCGCTATGGTACGGTTAGTTGAGTCAAATCCAGTGACTCTGGTAAAACTCACGCGGTAGTTTCGTGAGCGGACGCCATGATTCCAAAGCTCAATCGCAACCAAAGACCAGGTCAATGGAAGACAGGGCAAGAGCAACAAGTGTGACCTGGGAGAAAGGGACCGAAACCACCTAGAGCATGTTCAGAAGACAGACGGTGCCCTCCATATTTAACCCACCCCCTCGTTCAGCATGCGCGATATCCACAGTTCGTCCTACTATAACCGACCGCGTCGCTCTTCGCCTCTTGGTGTCGCGGTGTGGGGCGTAACCACGCACAAGCAATTTGCTAAGGCGATGTAACGTCTTGATAGCTCTACCCTTAACCAAATAGAAGCCATGCTCCGGTGCAAAGCTTGCCAAAGCCTTCCCTTGGCGGCTTAGCTGCTCCGCCGCCGCTCGGCATGCGTGTTAGCGATTCGCCAGTGTGTTAGCATGGCTGCAAGCACCTGCCGAAAGCGGCGCTCCAACATGGCGATCTTACGTTCTCATCTTCGTGTTTTGGACACACCAACTAATGGCCGGCATCCCATACATCCCACAGGGCGTGCCGACATGCCGCAAATTGGATGAATACAAATGTGCTCGGTTTGGTTCGTCGGTTGTGCCGGTATGCGGCTAGAGTTGCTGCATGTTGTCACCAGGCCGCCCACCACCTTTGCCGCCGCTTACATGTGTACAGATTGGGGGAGGCGAGCGGCAACCCATTGTTCCAACCGCTCATCCTCCCATCAGGCCAAACATCGAACCACAATAGTGCAGGAATCTGTTACCATCCAGATGACATTCTTGTGCGAAAATTTGCTACTCCGACCCACTTCCGCGCCGATTGCGGATGATAATTATGGCCATCGCCTTCTTCTATCCGGCGTCTGGGACCGACTCAAAGGACCTCGGCCTGTTAAGATTGTTTCGGGCGACACCGACAGATAAGCTTCTCCAAGACGACGGGGCAGACGGTGAACCAGCCAGATATTTCTCCCGTTGTGGAGCTGCACCCTAATTTAGTCGGCCTGCCTACCGACTGCATGGAGGATGTGGCCACACGAGCACCGAGAATTAGGCGAGGAAAGGGCACGCCGTATGTTAGCCCTACCGTTTACCGTACGCTTTGACGACCCCCAGTAACGTTAGGCCGTCCGTTATAGATTGCATCTGTGGCGCTGTGTATGGTGGAAGATATGGTGATGTTTCAAGCCACATGCACGCGTGATGGTGTTCAAGTCCATCCTCACTTGCCCTGATGCCGTCACAGTCGCGCGAAGCCAAGACGCCCAGGACGGAAGGCGCACTTCAAGCTTTTCTCACCTGCAGATACGGACATGGTAGATGTCAGTGGCGCCCTTGATCCTGTAGTAAGCGCCATACCCGTGTTAATCCCGAGCATCCCCCCAGCAGACTACCTGGGCTATCCGCCAAAAGCCCGTTCTGCCCTGGAACATGGTAACGTTCTAGAAGGCATGCGGACGCGCTTATCTGTAGATGGGGGTGTCAATACATACACACATAGTAGCGGTGGCGGCCCATGGCGGACCAACAACATGGAATCAGGACATCCCTGGCACTCACGACGCCTTGTCTCAAGGGTCGTGGAGATACTACCCGCTTCGGTGGCTAGATTTGACCCGCCTGCAACCAGCCGCGTTTTGCGCACTCCACAACACTTAGCACGGTGTAACCTTGAGGGCTAATGCATATGGGAGGCTCGAGGCAAGAAAACCGCCTCGGCTCATTATTCTCTTGGACTATTCATACAGCGCCTGCCTCTTTCCTCGTCACGTAAAGGCCGATACTAAACTACACCCTCATTCATCTACAACAATCTCACGTACGCTTTTGTTGGGAAAAGCAGCTCACCAGAATGAAGTAACATCAATAACATAAAGAAAAACCTGGGCTACCGGACACGAAAACCATATAATACAGACAGTGCCCAGGTCTGCGATACAAAGGAAAGGCAGAAAAGGAAACGACACAATATGTCTATGAGCAACCGTTGGGTCCGGTAGTACCAGGGTCACAGCACTGCTTTCCTCCTCCACAAGTCTCAGGACATTCCAGCAGACAGGCATCAGGTCCGCCTCTCACACTCGGGTTCCTGCTGCTGCGACCAGCATCCTCCGCGCCGCTATCGTCTGAGCCATGCGCTGAGTGGTCGTGCTTGGAATTGAGACAGAACTCCGGTTGGATGGTTGACGAGTGGATACCATATTCATGTAGGCACTCGCGGATTTGACGCGCAAGTTCCATGTAGCGTGCAGAGCCCTGGCCCTTGAAGTCAAAGTCAACCTGGACATGGAGAGAGGCAACAAGCTTGGTATCAGAGAGCTGCCAAACATGGAGGTGATGGCAAGAGACGATACCGTCGAGATCGCTGATGTCGTCGGTGATGTCATCAATAGACATGTTCTCAGGAACAGCCTGAAGCAGGATGCGGGACGCGGCCTTGCAGAGGGGTAGGGCAGAGAGGAGGATGATCACGGTGATGAGCAGAGAGACGGCGGGATCAGCATACATCCTCCATGAGAAGTCGGTAAGCCAGATGAATAGGGCAGTAGCAATGACACCAATGTTGCCCAGAGCATCGCCCATGACGTGTAGGAAGACACCGCGCATGTTGAGATCAGCGTGAGAGTGGCCATGGCCGCCGCCAGAAGATTGCTGTTTGGGCTGGGTGTGCTTGTGGTCCTTGTGCTTGTTCTCCTTGGATTTTCCGTTCGAGTGCGAGTGACTGTGTGCCCCATGGCTCTTAGACTTGGAAAGCAACGAAGTATGCTCAGTCGGCTCTTCCTCTGCTTCCACGTGGTCCTCTTCATCATCAGCCTCTTCATCGCGCAGGCGAGACGACTCAATAATGCTATTCCTGAAAGATGAAGGGTGCACGTAGATTTCGTCCAGGGTGGCATAGTTGCGCGACTGGGATCGGCTGTGACGCTTGTTCTTCTTTGCAGACACCGAGACGGCGATGTTACTGCTCTCGTCGGCGACAGCATGGTCGTGGTCGTGGTCGTCGTGAGAATGTGCGCCGTGGGAATGTCCCTCCTCCGCGTGTGAGTGTTCGTCGTGCGAGTGCGAATGGCCGCCGTGACCGTGACCGTGGTCATGGAAGAGGAAGAGGCCGACAATGTTGGAAAGGAGACCGCAAGAACCGACGACGAGGATGATCATGGGATGTGAGACATCTTGAGGCTCGACAAAGCGCTGGATTGCTTCAAGGAAGATGGAAAGGCATAGCGCGACGAGGAAGACGCCGTTAATCAGGGCACCTAGGGTTTCGGCGCGTTGCCACTGCTTCTCGTTAGCAAATGTACCGCGCATGAATAACGGTGCCAACTCACTCCGTATGTGTATGTCTTCGAGTTGGTCTTCTGGCTGGCAACTTTGACTGCCCACAGTCCGACGAGAAGTGATATGACATCGTTCAACTGCGCTTCTGTCAGTATTCGCTCTATCGCGTGCGACCACACATACGCACCATGTGGAACGAGTCGGCTACAAGAGCCAGGGAATGCACTGCATATCCCGCAATCAACTCTACAAAGAAAAAGGCCGTGTCGATGCCCAAGAGGATCATGATCCTCGTGGATTTGGAGAGCCCCATGGCGGCGATATCAGTGCGCCGTTGGCGCTCGTTGAGGAAGTGGCTAGGGGTGCAATCGACGTGCCTCGGAGTGTGTAGGCCTTTTTGCGTCGTCGCAAAGGTCTCGGAGTGTGGCGGATGTGGGCTAGAGGGCTACGCCGTGTCAGTAAAGGGGGGGAAAGTCGAGTTCAGCACCACAACAGTGGAGCGAGGATGGACGTTGGGAAGTCGAACTTTAAGCAGACTTCTCGCCTTACTATGGCGTCAGGGCCCAAGCGCAACTGTCCTCAGTTTCACACCACAATCTCACAAGCACATGACAATACCAAGCATGTTGATCAAACATCAGGTACTATTGCTTGCACAGTTCATGGCTCGTGTAATCCGAAAAAATCATCCCATTACAGTGCTTTTGGGGCCGCGCTTGCCTCAGATTGTGCCATGTGTTTCGTCGCTTGATGCTGATGCGATCCGCACTTCGATGACATACCGAGGTCCTGCCACACACAATGTTGCCAGGATCTCGCGTTTGCCCCGCGCCACGCCCGCAGACTGAAAAAATCCGTCTCGCATTCCTACAAACATGGTCATGTTAATCAACCTCTATGCATAGCTAATTGGTTCTGGAACACACTACGCGTTGCACAGCGCCAGAAAACTCTTAACCATTGCAAACTTGACTCATTGTCTATAACAGACGGCAAGATCGTGGTAAGCACTACGGGAATGCTAGTCCGTTCTGACATGCAACCTGCTACTTAAGAGCCGAACGCGGTCATCCTGGCAGTACAGTTTTGGGAACATCACCGAGACGGTGGGGTACTCGCAACGTCTCTTCACCATTTACATCGGACTGCAGCTATCCAAGTTTGAGCAGGACGAATGCTAGTATCTATATGGGTTGTTATGGGGCAGGATCCGTCGGATTTGTGACGGGACTATAATTGCAAATTGTCGGCGTAACATCTGGATTGGGTGTACATATCGGAAGCACCATGATATATACTTAGTTCTTCGGAGGTGAGCAAAGCTTTACAATGGGTATACCGACTGCTTCTATTAGTACCGTGCTTGAAGCCAACGATGCACGACGAAACATGGAAAGCGCTCACAGCTTGGCGGTAAGCAGCGTGACGGTAAAGGCAGGAAGCAGTGAATCTTCTTTCCTCTTCTCCCCGCACTCCACATTCCATGCCATTGCCATTACCTCGACATGGCGGACCCGAATCAGTTCAAACCAGCTATTAGTGAAACCCGAACAATTGACACTTGAGCATTCAACAAAGCCTAAAACCGGGGCGAGCGGATCATTTTAACAAGTCATGGTTAGAACGGCGGCCTAGCACCCACCATCTCATGCCAGAAAAAATCCCATGAGATATTCCCCCCTCCCCCCTTTCCTAATTTTCCCTTCCATTCCCCCCCCCCTTTTGGACCGTAGTACAAAAAGAAAGAAAGAAAAAGGCCGTTACACATACAACCCCCTAAACCTTTAATTATCCTTCATATCGTCGTCATTGTCGTCATCGTCATCTTCGTCCTCGCCAAATTCAACCCCATACTCGGCGCACACGTCCCATCGGTCGCCCTTGGCACTCTTGCTCACATACTTTGTAAAGCGCAGTACGCCCCGGTCACGCAGCACGATAGCCATGTTGTTCCACGCCGCAGGCTGGCTGAACAAGATACCGTCATCTTCATCATCGCCAGCGGATTTGTAGATGGCGGGATCGGCTTTTGCTTTGCGGCGCTGGCCGGCGCCGGTCGAGGTTGAGCCTTCCGAGGTTGTGGGTACGGCATGTTCCGAGTCCTCTTCACCAGCCATGTACATTTCGTAGCCGCCGACTTCCTCCTCCGGTTTGGGCTGCTCAGTTGCTTTCTCCTTGTTGGCCTTGTTCTTCTTCTTCTTGCTCGACTTGCTCTTTTGCGAGGCTTCCTCCACGGCAGCTTCTTCAGGCTCTTCGTCTTCATCGCCCCAGCCACGCGAAGGTGTGATACCGAGACAGACTTCAAGCTGTGGGTCTTCTTCCTCGTACGCGGTTGCCAACGTATAGTCTAGACCACGACGGAAACGGCGCGCAAAAATGTTGCTCTTTGTTAGTGTAATACCTGTTACGAGCGAGATCCACTTCATAAAAGCGGGATGAGGAAAGAGGATATCTACAAGGTCGTCGTATGGTGTCATGCCGTCGTTCTCAGGGTATGGTGTCGTTGGTATGGGTTGGACGGCCTTACGGTAAAGGAAGCGGTGCTTGTGTGGTGGGCGTGCGACTCCAACTACCGACTCCTTGTGATGTGGGTTGGTGGGTAGGCTAGGTACCGCCTCGTGGTCCTTGGTTTCGAGGTACTCCCGCAACCGTGCAGAGAACTTGTTTGACAGGAATTGCGCAAGCCGCAAAGACGACTCATCAGAAAACATCTTCGAGAGCTCCTCCACAGTGTCTGGAACGAGATAGTTTGGGTTGATGAACTTGATGAGGAAGTCGATCTCATCCTCTGTGAGCTCATCGTCTTCCTGTTTCGCTTGCTCTTCCCAGTATGGGTTCTCGACCCAATGTGATTGTGGCTCATCAAAGACGTCAGCCTTTCCTCCTTGGAGCTGAGCGAGCGAACTCTTCTCGGCCAACTTTTCTTCAAGACCCTCCTCATAGCCCTCCTCTCCTTCTTGTGGAATGTGGAACCAACCACTAATGGCCATGCGGATGCGCCCACCATCCTCTTCTGCCTTCTCCTCTACGCCCCTCCTGTATACTTCCTCGACGTCGTGGAAGCTCTCGCCGGGCTGTACCGTGAAGAAGGAGAGTTGGTTCCATGCAGGCGGAATCGATAAAGAGAAGTCCGGTTGCGGTACCTTGACCTTGTCACCATCTGGCGTCTCAAGATCCTCGGTTGGGTACAGTCGTAGTGCACCTCCCCACTCGGCCTTCCATTCAATGTCAGGGTCAAGCAAGTATAGAATCCAGCTTACGCGACGGCTTCCAATGACATCGTCATGGCATAGCAAATGACATCCTGGTGTGTAGACATTCTATCGTTTGATCAGCACCATATTTCCAAACCTTGCCTTGCGCAACTTACCACAGCCATGTCTGTCTTGACCCCACTCAAAGGTCCAGACCCTGTTATCGAAGATAGGTACTTGCGGAACGCGGACGAATAAAGCGAATCGCGGAGAGTGAGAAGCGACGGCAAGCGCTTGAGCGCCGAGTCATGAAGGCCGTCGAGATTGGCAAGATCACCAGATTGGTGAATCTTGTAGATGTCCGTCTCTTTGGGTGTAAAGTGGATGTGCTCGCGGATTTCGTTGCGGACATTGCGGAGGAGCGTGTCGTTGACCAGGTTCTGGATGACGGCGTGCTTGTAGCTGTGGGTATTGTCAGAAAGGACTGAGTGCAGGTTGCAGCATTCACGCGTACGGCTGCGACTGGGCGTATGCGTTGGCGTATGTCTCGAGCACTTTGCTATCGAAGAGACCGTCGCGGAAGTTCTTATGCGCCTCATCATCTGAGATGGCCCTCTTCTTCTTGGCCATGCCGTTGGCAGGCGCCTCATTCTTGCGCTTGCCCATTGCGACTGCAGCGGCGGGCTTCAAATAGGCAGTACGGGGCAATCAAGCTGTGGTGTGGAGGCAATGGAAAGAGGAAGCTTGTTGATGATAAATTTGGTCGGCATAAGCTTTTTGAGAATCGCCGATGCCCTGCCATCGCTCTCACACCATAGTCGGTCCACCTAACCCTGTCCGGCCACCGGGCGAAGATTGTTACCCTGGGTGGATGCTTTCCCCTCAAGTTCACCGATGACGACTGCACCAGCCAAGCACCGGACAGTGGCTGCAGGGCGGCCATGAAAGTTTCGCGGCTGTGTTGTTGCGGAGACCCAGGTGCTCCGGTTGGCTGGCACCATGCTTCCGCCGACGGCAACCCATCGATAGCTCCCAACACACAAACTCTCGCTTCAATACGGCATCTCTTCACTTCCTCACGGCCTGGATCTGCACACGCACGCAACGTGTTCCTCTGCATTGGCCACACAGGACACTGCTATCTACACCTAATGGGTATATGAACATGATCGACGTCGCGTGATCGGATATGCGAACCGAGCTGCCAAGACGTGTGCGTATGTCTACTGTGTGGCTGACCATTTCAAGACGTGGCTCTCCAAATTCGCCTACCGCAGCACATTTTACTCCCCATGGTCTGCCGAAAGTAGCTTGGCTATCTTCCCCTCTAGCATCTTCACGTCGTCCCCGACCGTCTTGATGTTGTTCACCATGGCTGTCTCTGCCCTTTTGATGTCCTTCTCCAAAATCTCGAGTTGCTGCTCCCACTTTTTGATTTCTAGTTCCTGCGCCGATTGCCGACGTTCAAGCTCAGTCAAGACCTCGTCAGCCTGCCAAGCACTAGTATGTACGAGTCGCAATGTGCGCAGCCGCTCAAGGACTAGCGGTAGGATGGGCGATAGTTTGTCAATAGAAGGCAAAGTGCCATACAAGGCGTTGATCTTCGCTTCCTGATCAAGGTATGTACCCGAGCTATTATCGTTCGAGCCCGCACCAGCCTCTGCCGCCTCCTCGCGAACTTCCTTTAAGTGCTCTGCTTCGGCCGTAAGCTTCTTGACGTTTTGCGTGACTGTGTCCAGATTGTTTGATGCAGCATCTCCAATTAGGCCCATAGTCTGTTCCAACCGCGTAAGAGTAGCCGATACGGGAAAGGGCGTGTGATCGTTCAGCTCGGGCATTGTGTTTCCATTCAGGCCCAGACTACCCTCGAGCTGCGTGATGCGCCTATCAAACTCGGCTGCCTGATTCAACACAAACTCCAATTGGCTTCTTTGTACCTGTGTGCCTGGTAGTGGCGGCTGGTTTGCAATGGCATTGGTAAGTTTGGGACTGGGATCGAAGGGCTTGTAGCTGTCGAACTTCTGCACTGTACGGTCGAGTATCGCCTGTGTACCTCGAGCGCCACCTTTATGTGCAGCGTAAATTGTGTCGACCTTGCTCGCTATCATCTCCATCATTTCCTTGGGGTCTTGCTCCTCAATCTTGGACTTGTCCCCGCTTTCAACCTTCTGCTGGTATTCATCTTCTAACGTGGCCAACTCTCGCTTGATCCTCAGTAGCTTTTGTGCAAAACTTTCCTCCTCTTCGTCGCTGGCATCGCCTATTATCTCGCCCCGCCGCCGCTGGCGCCGTGTAGATGTGCGATAGGATTGGCCCTGCGCGGTGATATTGTCCGAAAAGTCAACTCCACGGGCGTCTACTCGAGCAGGCTGAAAACGATTGCGAGCCTGATCAGGCTGCAGGCGTTGGTGACGGACTGCCGAGTCATCATTGTCGTCGTCGTCGTCATTATCGCCGTAGTCTGATTCGGAAACAGCGGTGGAAGCTTGGACTGTAGACACGTCTTCGGTAAGTTCTGGCGTCTCGTAGATATCAGGTGCTGTGTCAATGCCTGGAAGATTGTCGTATTTCGGCCTCGTCGCTTCAGACATTGTGAACTGGAGAGGCGGGGTTGACTAGTTGGCCGAACGTCAGGGTTTACGCCTATTGAGGGACGCGTTCGCTGGGACCGTCGCGACTTGTGCACTAGACCATAAATGGTTTAGCCGGGCATTGCTGGCTTCATTCAAGAGTAGGGTTGGGTCAAGATCTCGTGTGACTTGGTGAACTGGCATTTTTGTGGACTCGTATCATCACTATGTACATCACCAAGTTTTGATTTTGTGGTTTAGTGGATTGTCTGGCCATTCCAACTCATTCTCCGCAACTTTGTGCATGAGCATGCTTCGTATCAGACAATCACGAATAAATGCTGGGTTGTATATGTCGTGTTCCAATTGTAGTCTGCTTTCTCATCTGATCTATGCCTGAACCTTGAACGTACGACCACTGGCCGTCTTGCGCTCCTTCTCTTCTGCCTCGGGCCGAGCTCTGCGAAGAACTAGACAAGTCAGTAAACAAGTTTACAAAGAATACACCTGTGCCAAGCATACCTTGGAGGAAGTCGGCAGTCCGCTTGCGCATTCTTGAGTGAATGAAAGCCTTAGATGCCTTGATGTGGTAGTGAAAGTAGTCACGGAACGTTTGGATGTGTGAGATGACATCGGCTCGTCGTTGGTTTGTGAGATGGCGAGGGAAAAGCACTGTACTGGTCAGCCATGCACAGTTATACACACTCTACTGCAGGTCCACTCACCAAAGGTAATATAGCCAATATCGGCAGAGCCGGATGTATCGACTCCGGGAATGCCTTGTAGTTCAAGAGGGGGGTCGTTCCTGAACAGCACTTGGGGAGCGTTTTGGATAGCCCTTCGCCTGGCATCGACGAACTCTTGGAGGAAAACCTTTCCAAATATCCTATCCGTCTCTTCACGGAACACGGTTGAGAAAATAACAGTTACACGGTCGTGGCTGGCCTTGACGTATATGGCTTCCTCCTCTCGGTAGTGGATGGCGCGCACATCACCGCCCTCCGCCACACCTTGCGGCGCCGACTCGGATGTGTACTTGGAAGCCTCCTCTTGGAGCTGGTGGAACTCGTCGAAAGCCTGCTCGAAGGGTGCAGCCATGGCGTTTCGCTTGAGGAGGGCTACGCGGCGGACCAGGTCATCCTTGGCGTCTGCATGCCATCAGCGCTTTTCTTTGTCGACACACAATTATGCGCACCTTGATCCTCTGGCAGATTCTCCAAATCTACTAGGACAGAGAAGTCATATCCAGACTCTGGCTCCACAATGAATGGCCCATACTCGCGCTCGAGGACAGCCTGTGCACCGTATTGGACGAGTTCCTTGAAGCATTTGATGTGCAGCGACACGAGGATCTTGGTCTTGGTCTCTGGGGTCGAGATGTGGAAGGTGACGCCGTCAAAGTCGGAGACGACCTGGTCAATGTTGGCGGGAGCTCCTCTGTGTGCTGTTAGCTACTTGGCGGCGGAGCGGGAGGCTGCGGGGCACGGCGAACCCATTGACGCGGTCCCTCAGCAGGGACTCAATGAGAACGTTCTGATAGTCGAGAAGAAGCATTGTGGGTGTTGTAGCTTCTCCGCGGGGTGAGGGAGGTGGTAATGTCGGGCGGGGAGCTCTCGAGTCGGGCGGTGATGCGGAGGACGGAGGTGTGCTGTGGTGATGCTGGAGGGTGGGCCTAGCGCCAGCCGTGGGGTCAGGCCCTTGTCTAAAAAGTTTCCAGAAATATGCGACCTTGCATCTCGACAACCAACGGCCGCTCACAGTCGCACATGTTCTGCAGGAAGCGCAATGAGCTGGAGTCGTCACACTTGAGCACCTTGGCATAAGTTTTTTCTTACACATAGTGGAATTGATTGACGACAAGAGCGCAACATGGTCAAATCCTACAGGTAATGCGCGCTGGCGGCGCAGCCCATGCAAAGCTTCTGCTGACCTTCACACAGCAAGTATGAGCAGACGGACGCTTTCGGCGTGGTCGCGACTGCTACCTCGAACATTGTTTGGACCCCAGAAGGCCTGACCCAGACGGGCTCCAACCGGCCTGCTGGTGCCGGACGCGCATACGCCGCTGCGAACGAGGAAGTACTGTGCTGGGATATAAAGAAAAGCGAGCTCGTGAGCCGGTGGCGAGACAACTCGTGTACTGAAGAAGTCACCGTCATTCGCCGAAGCGACGTGGACCCAGATGTCTTCGCCGTTGGCTACGCCGATGGCAGCATTCGCATCTGGGATGCGCGAACGTCGACCGTCATCATTACCTTCAACGGCCACAAGTCTGCAGTCACCATCCTTGCTTTCGACCAGACCGGCGTCCGACTAGCAAGTGGCTCCAAAGATACAGACATCATTATATGGGATCTGGTTTCGGAAACGGGCTTATTCAAGCTAAGAGGGCACAAGGGTCAGATCACCGGTTTGCACTTTATCCACCCCGAAGACTCCCCCCAAGAGGATGGTGCCGAAGATGGAGATGTTGACATGGACCCGGATCAGGCGTTCTTGCTCTCCACTAGCAAAGATGCCTTGATCAAGATTTGGGACGTGACTACCCAGCACTGCATCGAAACACACATTGCGCAGACAAATGGAGAATGCTGGGCCTTGGGTGTCTCACCAGACGGTAGTGGGTGTATTACGGCAGGCAACGATGGGGAGCTCAAGGTGTGGGCCATTGACCAAGTCGGTTTGCGAAAAGCCGGTTCAAAGATTGGTGAAGCGACGGACCTTGAGTACCTCACCCCAAGAGGCATACTATACCGACAGGGCAAAGACAGGACACAGGGCATCTCATTCTACTCAAAAGCCGACTACATCGCGGTGCATGGTGCAGAAAAGGCTGTTGAGATCTGGCGCATAAAGACCCCAGAAGAGGTCAGGAAGAGCTTGATTAGGAAAAGAAAGAGAAGGAAGGAAAAGGCAAAAAATGAGACAAAGGGAGACGCGCAGGAAGAGGCGGACGCAGACGAAAAGGTCAACGTGGCAGATGCTGAGATTGGCGAAGTATTTGTGCCATATGTGACTGTACGGACGGCTGGAAAGGTGAGGTCGGTTGCTTGGATGCATATCAAAGGATCGAAGAAGCTGCAGCTTCTTGTCGGCACCAACAACAACCTCATCGACGTTTACGAGATTCCACAAAAGAGCAAGTCGAAGAGTGAGGAAACCCCCGACTATTCTCGGACATTGGCCGTTGAACTCTCCGGGCATAGGAACGACGTGCGAGCGCTCGCACTCAGCTCGGACGACCGCATGCTCGCATCTGCGTCGAGTGGAGGCTTGAAGATCTGGAATGTGAAGACGCAGAACTGTTTACGCACATTGGAATGCGGATATGCGCTCTGCTGCGCATTCCTTCCGGGAGACAAGATTGTTGTCGTAGGAACGAAAGACGGCGATATTGAGCTGTATGATATCGCAGCATCAACATTACTCGACAAGATTTCTGCCCACGAAGGAGCCGTGTGGACAATGCAAGTGCACCCCGATGGCAAATCGCTCATTACAGGCAGTGCAGACAAATCGGTCAAGTTTTGGAATTTCGACATTATCCAGGAGGAGATACCAGGAACCAAACGTACAACGCCTCGTCTCAAGCTTATTCAGTCCCGTGTTCTCAAGGTCAATGACGACGTTCTCAGCGTACATGTGTCACCCGATTCACGATTACTAGCCGTCGCAACCCTTGACAATACGGTCAAAGTCTTCTTTGTAGATTCGCTAAAGCTCTTCCTCAACTTATATGGCCACAAACTGCCCGTTCTTAACATGTCCATCTCCAGCGATAGCAAACTTATCGCTACTTGTTCCGCTGACAAGAATGTGCGCATATGGGGTCTGGACTTTGGAGATTGCCACAAAGCATTATTCGGCCACGAAGACAGCATTATGCAGATCTCTTTCATCCCTCATCCCGTTGATGGTGATGAACGCCACCTCCTTTTTAGCGCCAGTAAAGACAGGACAATCAAGAGCTGGGACGGTGACAAGTTCCAGCAGATTCAGAAGTTCAAGGGCCACCACGGTGAGATCTGGGCCATGACCGTGGCGCGGACTGGCGACTTTATCGTCACAGCTAGTCACGACAAGAGCATACGTATCTGGACGAAATCAGATGAGCCCATTTTCCTCGAGGAAGAGAGGGAAAGAGAATTGGAAGAAATGTACGAAAAGACACTTGCAACAAATCTCGAAGATGAGGAAGACCCCAACGGTGAACGCGCCGAAGCCGTCGACGCCAGCAAGCAAACCATTACCACTCTCACAGCCGGTGAACGCATTCAAGAAGCCCTGGATCTAGGCATGGTAGACCTGGAGGTTGTTCGTGACTGGGAGATTCAGAAGAAGTCCAACCCCAAGATTGCACCACCGCAGCGCGATCCTCTCTTCCTGGCTCTCGGTAACATATCAGCTGAACGTCATGTCCTCAACACTATGGCCAAGATTCCCGCAGCACAGCTCCACGACGCACTCCTTGTCCTGCCCTTTTCTTCCCTACCTGCTCTCTTTACCTTCCTCGCCATCTGGGTACGCAAGCAATGGAACATTACCCTGACGTGCAGGGTTCTCTTTTTCATGCTAAAGACACATCAAAAACAAATCGTTGCGAGCAGAGAGTTGAAGACTGTGATTGAAGGTATGCGCAACGACCTCCGGAGTACGTTGATGGGTAACAAGGACCTGATTGGGTTCAATGTTGCAGCCATGAGGTTTGTGGGCGAGAGGGTGGATGAGGCACAGTTGGTCAGATGGGAAGACGTGGATAAGCTGGAGGAAGAGAAGAAGAACAGGAAGAAGAGAGCGTTTGTCGATGTAGCATAGAGTCGTCTTCAAAGCATGAGCTAGGGCGGCGTATCGGTCTGGGTTAAAAATTGTTGTACTACTGATTGAATTATAACATGTCGATGAAAGTATATGCCAGCTATCTCTAACAATACGATTCGTAGCGTTTGATTAACTATAGTTTCGACTTGATAAGTTCTTCGTCCTCTTGCCGTACACCCTGCCACACGTCAGCAACGTGCCACAGTTTGGTCAGTCCAATATCCCCTAATATTGCACCTCTTCCATTACGATATATGGAATCGTAATGAGCTTCGTCAACTTCCGTTACTCCGTTACCATCAAACACTACGAATTTACCCTCCTTGACCCACCCCTCTCCATTGGCCCATCTAATAAAACGGTCCTGCATTGCCCGCGCAACACTTTTGTTGTGCTCATCCAGATGCTCTTCAAAGTTGTTAAAAAGGTATGCGACATCAAGTTCGTGAGAAGATAAGCCCTTGAACGGACCATCGATAGGATTGGGAACATGGAAATGATATCGTGAGGCGCGTCTTGGCGGAGAAGCATCTTTCCAGCCTCGATACGCTGACAGTGCTGCTAAGTGGAAGCGCAGGTCGCCGACCAGATCGAGTAGCCGTTCTGCCTCTTGTTCCTTTGGCAACGGTCTTTCCAGCTTGTACGCGGCTAGGAGTCTCTGCGTCTCAGATGCCGTGAGGTATTTTGCACATGCCTGTTTGAGTCGACCCAACGCATTAGGGGGGTCGAGAACCCTGCCCTTGAGAACAGTCCCATCATGTCCTGTATCTCCTATCACAATCTCCTTACACCAAGAAGGCTTGTGCACATTGCTCTTTCCATCCATGACCGACTCTATTGTCACTCGGGCAGTGAAAAACTCATTATCAACAGCCGCAGTCCATTGTTGAAACATTGGCATCTTCTGTGCCAGCTCTTCCGCATCCATATCGAGCAGTGCTCTCCTTCTGCTTTCGGTATCCCTCCTTTCCAATTTCAAATACGTCGACTGATCTTCCAGCATCTTCTGCTGCCACCATCCATTCCGCCACTTCCTCAGTGTCACCTCGCCACTCATCAGCGCCACTCTCTCAAACAACCCCTCGTCCCCCACATTAGCACAAAGCAGCGTCGAAAGCGATATCCCACCCGCCGACTCTCCCACCGCGGTAACATTACTCGGGTCGCCTCCAAACCCCGCGATGTGCCGTTTGATCCACCGAAACGCCTGCAACTGGTCTTTGAAACCCATGTTTCCCCGCGACCCAATCTCTTTGCCTGCTAGGAAACCAAATATGTTGACGCGATAGGTTATCCCAACCCCAATGATGGGTTTCCCGATCTCTGCACTACGCTCCACGAACCGCCGCATCTGGTACTGAGGCCAGTTATTCGATCCCACACTCAATCCGCCACCATGCACCCATACAAAGACTGGGAGTAGCCCTGGCGCCGTAGCATCATTGTCAAGACCCAAATTTGGCAACGTAACGTTCAAATTTAGACATTCAAATTCATCCATACTCTCTGTGGGACCTTGGCCCTGGGCATAATTGAGTTTCGCGCTGCCGACCAGCGTTAGATCCCACGCTTGGGCTCCGCGGTGCTGGGGACATGAGGGACCGAAGTGGGTGCTGTCTACCACGCCGTCTGCTCCTGCCTTGAGCGGTTCATCGTTTAGGATAGAATCTTGATACCGGGCTGGTATGCGTGCATATTTTAGATTGAAAAATTCCAGTGTTGACGAAGTGAGTTTGCCGCGGAGGCTTTGTTTCAAGGTGGGATGATAGAGCTGGTCTGGTGATGAGGACATGTTTTTGTGGGGTGGAGTGTGTGATTGAAAAGCTTCGGAGAGCTGCGTTGCATTCACGCAGGCATTATTTTATATTACGATACATATATTCACTTTGGCATTGCTTTCCCCCAGAGTCCTGAATGGACATGTGGAGAAGATGTGGGGAGACGTGGGGCTTGGACCTCGGTAACGGTAAAGAGGCCATTGGAATTATTGCGAGTACACAGCTGCCTGGGTACGCTTCTCTCTGGGTCTTGCAGAAGAGGAGAGGTGTATTTTAGTATTGTTGTTGCGGAGCCTACGTAGTTGACATGCTAGAGAACCTACTACTTACATAAAATGTCGATATCGGGCATGTCACTTTACGCTAAGCTTGACTCTAGCCTCAAGAGTTGGATCGGCATGATCAACGACATGTCTTTGGTTTAATAAAAAATAGTAATCCTAGTGTTGGGACTCTGTGCTTTAAATTGTTCTTATTGTGCGGGCCAACTCACATTACTCCAATACTATTGAGAACGCCAAGATCTCACACACGTGACCTGGGTGAATAGGACAAAAAATGAGAATTGCAAAAACAGAAACATGCGACAGCGGGTATTCCCTAGTGATTAACTGCCTAACTACTAATCCGACGGTAAAACGCTTGTATAGGCTGGATTGGATTGGATGCCATGTTGTCACTCGTCCTGATACTATAAAGACCGTTAAATTATCTGTTTCTGGTATTGCGCAACTGGTAGCAAGTTTTGTGCAGAATGGAGAAGGATCTACTTGCGTTACAATCCTTCGCACTGAGCAGCAGATCATCCGGAAATAGTGCAAGCAGCGCAAATAAGTGATCTGCATAAGCTGTAATCAGGGGGCTGACATTGACCTACGAGCTTTGACAGTAAATCGCTCTACTAATTCTAGCAATACGGCCTGCTCACCAATCGTTCCCTGCATGGCGTGATACCCCCCCCCCCCCCCCCCCCCCAATATGATCGGCGCTATGATCGCCAAATATAGACAGCTGCCAGCCGGAACGTGTTATCCGCCTTATGAATTCCAGCTCTTAAGCACGTGGACTACTCGTTGGTCTATGCTATGCACACCAAGCCGCCATACCGAGCTCGCCTCTCTACATCCTTAGCACTAATATATACTTAATTCGTGCAGATTAGTGTATCAGCCGTGTGCATGATTTATACTGTTCTATTTGTAGTAATGCGTGTTGGTTGATATTAATATGCCTTTGGTTGTGTGCGTAGTTATACCATCCTGGATGGGTTTAACATTGAGAACATAGACGGCACACCTGATATAAATAGCGGTCATGTGCAGGACTTTTAGCGCCAGGATATGCCAGATTTGACGGCAGATTTACTGGAGTTTTGCAGGATGAGGGGTCTCTGGTGGATTGTTTTGTCCAGATTTATTTAGGAAACTGGATATAGGGGGCTTATGGGGACGTTTGCGTTCTGAGCTGGAGGTTGATGGATTGGACCATAGGGCTCTACAAGGATTTACAGCGCACTTGCAGAGCAGACAGAAAGCACTCATCACGCATGAAAACCAAAAGTTTAGGTAGACGTCGATCACGACGTTGATTCCTTTTTATAATACTTTTATCCATCTAAACCCATCTACTGCTGTCACTACGCCCACCCCGCTACATCTTCCTTCCAGCTTACTCTTAACCGTAGACGTATTTGATCTTGATGCGGGGAACGCACATAGCATCGTATACCTGAGGAGCAGTGAAAGGAGCAACGTAAACTGGAGATGTAGGGGCAGCGGGAAGAGCGGCGACACTGGAGGGAGCAGCACCATAATAAGCAGCGCCAGAGGAAGCAGCAGCGCCAGAGGAAGCAGCAGTACCAGAGGCAGCAGCACCAGAGGAGGCGGCAGCGCCAGAGGAAACAGCGGGGCTTGAAGATGCAACAGCGGCAACGCCAACAGACGAGGCGACGACACTGGAGGAAGCAGCAACACTGGAGGAAGCAGCAGGGCTTGAAGATCCAACAGCGGCAACACCAACAGACGAAGCGGCGGGAGTAGAAGAAGCGCTGGGCGTAGGTGTGGGAACGGCACATAGAGGGGCGGCGTCATTGATCTTTCCAACGGTCCAGTTCGAGGCGTCCTCGGTGTACCGCTCAAAGTAGGTCAAGTGCTTCTCGACGTCGTCACCGTTGGCGCAGATCGGGTCTCCCTTAGCGCAGTAAGAGCGCAGGACGGATGCGTAGCGGTTCAGGCGTGCAAGAGAGTCGGAGTGGCGACCGTCCTTCTGTAGATCAGAGCCGTCAAGAACGTTGTATGGCTGGTTAGCCACGTGCATGACATCGCCCCAGAGGAGAGCAGCAGCAACTAAGTTACCAAATTAGCACAGTCCAAGGTTCGAGTGTGTCATGTCAAGAATACTTACCAGCATTACCAGGAGCCGAGGTAGGGTCGAAACCAGTGGTGATTTGGGAGCATCCACCAGGTCCAGCAAGAATATCTCCAGTGATCCAGGCGCCCTGAGAGAAGCCATTGAGGACGAGGTGCGTGCAAGGGCACTTCTTGTTGAAAGCAGCGATCTGGGATTGCCCGTTGCGGACTCCCTCGCCAATTTGTTTGCAGTAGTCGCCGCCCTTGGGGAAGACAATCTCGATGTAGTCGCAGGTCTTGCCCTCAGCCCTCAGTTTGCCACACGTAGCATCGGCGTAGGGGAATGTACGGTAGTCATGGTACGGCGCGTTGTTACCGCGGGCCATGAAGATGACAACATCGGCGCAGGGAGCGTCGAGCTTGGGGGGCGGGTCTTGAGCGACGGCGACGGTGGCGACAGCGCTGAGCGCGAGAATGTTGCGGATGATGGAAGGCATTATTAAGGATTAAAGAGTGTGGTATTAGTTGGTCGTCAAAAAGCGAGTGTACTGGTTAGATTGCAAGGTCAGAGGACCTGTGAGAAGAGAGAAATACCGCTTGGCTTCGGGGAAACAGTGTTTAATAGGAGAGTTTATTTTGAATTTTAGCCGAATTGAGTGTCGAGTCCGCTCAACTCCGTAGAAACGGCCGGAAAAGGGGAGTGTGTCTGACTAGATACGAGTTGGATCCCTTTTTGGGTGAGCTACTTATGTATCTTGGGTCGTGCGTCAGCAGGAACGCGGACAAACGTCGTATAATTGAGATTGAGGCTGCCAATACGGAGGTCGCTTTCATAAGTCGTCGTCAGATCGGCCATAGCGCCTATTCAGGTTCTTGCTAGCGTTACTCCATCAGGCCGATATATCCGCCTATAGAATAACTCTTTTACTCTTACTCTAACCTTAGGATAATTAATACTAACGGTAGAAATTCTAAGAAGACAGCTTAGTATAGAAGATAGATACCCAATTTGTTAAGATACTTTGAATATTAGAAAAGTATCTGAATGAAGAAAAAATAAGAGCAAACGATGGTACGGTAGAACTTCGGTACCCCTATTAGGACGAACTTGTAACCGAGATCCACCGGGCTGGCGATATTTTATGAAAGCGACCTTCGTAAGGTTTTGGAAGATAGCCCAGGGGCCAGATATCCCCTTGATGGATACCGTCAAACTCTGCCATCTTTGTGAAATGGGTCAATGGGACACCGATAGTGAGTGGCTTCCCCATTCGGGAACGACGCTTCGAGAGGTAAAGATCCTCTGAGACGTTGCTGCTGAGGTTTGCATCGAAGTTAATTTTTAGCTCATGGGATCAAGCAGGAACCAAGAAAAGTGCTAGCGTGCGTGTCAATGCTTGATCGATCCTCCACATACGAAGAGGTATTCTCCGTGGAGATTCCACCCCCTGTCTGACCTGTGAGCTTGTCTTAGATAAGACTTCCTGCACGCCCCCTCGACCAACCCGAAATGCCTTAGCTTTCACTACTGTACGGAGAGCATGGCTTTGATTGAGTTGGAACAACAGGCCCGTGCGCGCGTATAATATACAACTCAAAAGAACCCAGCTTCTTCGTATACCCTTACTTTATTATCGCAACATAGGGAGTCTGCTACCGTGCTCGCGCGGAAACCACGCGTTTTGCTTGTGGCACACGCTCAGCAGCTCTTACCGGAACTCTTTGAGGGCTGCTGTGCCTCATGCCAGACACTCGACAATCTAGATGCACTTTACTTGTTGGATGCAGTGAAATCTATCTCTCATGCCACTCTAGCTCCTAAGCTTGTCGCAGGTCAGTGCCTGAAGCGCCACCAACACTAGTATGGCATTTATGCTATCCCGCCGGTGGATGAGGACTCCACGACGTCGTCACGTTGAGCGTCGTAAGGGGTGGCATACGAAACCCCTCGTCTATCGCTTGGTCTCGAATATGGCAATACGGATGGGACAGTACCGGCAAATCACTTGCACAAGTCCATACGCAGGATCTCCGAGTCGATAACCTCTTCCATGAGGATATGAAGACTGCCCCTATGACAGTCCGCAGTAGGCTAGCAGTACTGTGATATAATCAGCACAACTTACAGCACTATAGATACAGTCGGTGCTTAAGCGAGCACATGTGCGTGCGTATGACTGAAGATGCTTTGTTACTTCAAAGGCTGCTAAAAGCTGCAAACGAGATTCAGGTGGAAGGGTGGCACAGCTGCAGCGGTTGGAAGCGTCCGATTACCGCACACTGCAGCAAATAACCCGTAAACAGTACCTCGGTATCTGGTTGATCGAACGAGAGAAGTAACTCTATTTCTCCAATGGTCGTATTTGCCAGGTATAAAAATATAACTGTATTATACCCGTATAAATATCCTCATGGCGGACTTGCGGCTGAAATTCTGGACCGGTGACACGAGTTGAGCGCTCTTCAATATTGAACTACCTCATCACTAGAGAGGCTACAATAAAAAGTCAGAATTAGCAAATGGTATCTAAGTATCGATTTGCATAGATCATTAGTTATTTAAGGGTGTGGGTATAGAGTGCGTTCCCTTGGTACTACGTACAAGAAGAAGAGTGATGGAGGTAAAGTGCATGACGCTCACGTGTCCACGCGTTTATCTTGGCGCGCCTTGAGCCGATGCGTCCGCCACTCAGCCACTGGGGCAAACCCACAGTATAAACTAAACAGCATTGCGACGACGCCCGGTAATGCGGAACAGCTATCTTCATGTTCAGAAATCCTCGAGAGAACCGCACGCTATCCGAGTCGTCGAAATTGGGCTCCTCAACTGGCCGACCCCCCTCGCCGCCCCGCTCTTCGTCAAGCAACGCAGCCATGGCCACTAAAACCGCGACAAAGAAGGCAACTCCCAAGCCAAGCACAAACACGCCCCCGCCAAAGAAGAATGTCATTCAGACTACGCTCACGCCTGCAGACTTTACCAAGAAGTCGACTTCTGCAAGCAATGGCAAGAAGCAGAAGCCAGCAGGGACGCCCAATGGCAACATCATGACGTTCTTCAAGAAGGCCGAGGAGATCAACAACCGTATATTCCTGCAGGAAAGAGGCTCGAATCCAACAGTTGCGCTTGAAAATGACGAGGAAGATGTTGGCTGGAGCGATGAGAAGAACAATGGCGTCATGGTCTCGGGCAATGAGGATCGCTATAATGAGAATGGTGGCAGCATCAAGCGGCGCAAAGTCAGTGAAGAACCAGTAGCGCCGCCTCCAGCCTGTTCGCCGCCCCCGCCAGCAGATGCTGAGAGCAATGCTCTGGACGCTCTTGCAGTTCATGCACCCAAGCAAGCGTCGAAACCGCGTCAGAGATCAGGGCCCTTTGTAGACGATTCGGATTCCGAAGACGATGAAGCGGAGATGCCTGCTACAAGTCCAGGTATGGCTATGCGAAGAAATAGTGCGAAGTCACCAATTGCTAAAGAAACCGAGGATCCAACACCCATGGAAAGCATTGAACGTTCAACAACCCATACCCCCTCACCCAAGCCAGAATCCACAATTATCCCCGATGACGAAGAATACGAGAACTACGAAGGTCTTGAGGATGACGATTTGCTTGAAGGTGAAGAATACGACGAAAGGCGTTGGATGAGGGAACAACAGAAGCTGGAAATGGAAGAGGCGGGTTTGGAGGGCGATGCAGACGACTCTGAGGCGCCCTTCCTGTTCCCCGAAAATGATGCACTGGATATCAAGCAGGAAGCGGAAGAAAACGACATCCCTAATGTACTTTCATGTCCAATATGCGGTAATAATCTCCCTGGATTGTCAGAGCAAGATGTGTCTGTCCACGTCAACGCGTGCCTGGACGGCAAACCACTTCCGCTCCCCACAGCGAAGTTGGAACAGGAAAGCAAACCAACTGCTGCCAGTAGTGCAAAGATGTTTAAACGACCCGAGCGGCCAGCAAAACCTGGCCAGGCAAACCCATTTCAGCTTGCAAACCCCAGCACTCAACCAAGCTCTGCGTTTTCAAAGCTCATGGCTGGCCATGCCGAAGATGCGGCATGGGCAAGTGCGGCAGCCGAGAACAACAAGGCGCGAGGCAAGCCAGCCTACCAGCGTACCTGTCCATTTTACAAAATCATGCCAGGCTTTTTTATCGCCGTTGATGCTTTTCGCTATGGTGCTGTCAAGGGCCAAAACGCTTACTTTCTCAGCCACTTTCACAGTGATCACTACGTTGGCCTTAGTGCGTCCTGGAAGCATGGTCCCATTTATTGCAGTAAGGTTACGGGCAATCTGGTACGGCAGCAACTTCGGGTTGACCCGAAGTGGGTGGTCGACCTAGATTTTGAAGTGAAGACCGAAGTGCCGGGGACCGGAGGCGTTTTTGTGACAATGATATCAGCAAACCACTGTCCAGGCAGTTCTCTTTTCCTGTTTGAAAAGGAAGTCGGCAAAGGCAACAACCAAAGGCTGCAAAGAGTCCTACACTGCGGGGACTTCCGCGCTTGCCAAGCACATGTCGAGCATCCGCTGCTTCGACCGGACGTACTAGACGTTGTCAGTGGAAAGAGCAGACAGCAAAAGCTCGACGCGTGCTACCTTGACACCACCTATCTCAATCCAAAATACGCCTTCCCACCGCAACGGCAGGTGATTCAGGCTTGCGCAGACATGTGCGTTAGCCTTAGCAAGACTCGTGCCGATGAGTCGGACGGATGGGAGAAGATGAAGCGAAAACGTGCAGGGCAAGGTATGGTCAACTTTGTGCAAAAGGACTCTAATCCGGAAAACCCATCGGAGCCAAAGAGTCCTGAGCGGGGTCGCCTTCTTGTTGTGGTAGGCACGTACAGCATTGGGAAGGAACGCATATGCACGGGCATCGCCAAAGCTTTGAACAGCAAGATATACGCCCCCGCCAACAAGCAACGCATCTGCAAGGCCCTCGAAGACCCTGAGCTAGATGCACTGCTGACTACCGATCCTCGCGCTGCTCAGGTGCATATGACACCACTTTTTGAGATTAGAGCAGAGACATTGGATGACTATCTACGCGGTTACGCTGACACCTTTTCACGTGTGGTTGGTTTTCGGCCTTCTGGCTGGAACTATCGTCCACCCCAAGGCCGCTTTACCGAATCGCCTCAGGTGCAGACTGTCCTGCATTCGGGCAACTGGAAGAGCACCTTTGCTATGAAAGACCTAAAGCCGCAAGCGGGTAGCGGGAGTCGGGCCAGTTGCTTCGGGGTACCCTACAGCGAGCATAGCAGCTTCAGGGAGCTGACCATGTTCTGTTGTGCACTAAGAATCGACAAGATTATACCGACAGTCAATGTGGGAAGCGCGAGCAGCAGGGAGAAGATGAAGCTGTGGTGTGAGAGGTGGGCTGCTGATAAGAAGAAGAATGGTCTATTCAAGTTGGGTGAGAATGGCGAAGGATGGTAGACTTGAGTTGCTCGTATTTTTTCCCCCAAGTGGGCAGATCTGTAGTCAAGCCCAGGAATCTGACCATTGCCTGCATTTGCAGATCGCACCACACCAACGTCTTGATCGTGTTTGAGGGCTTACCTGGTGGGTTGTACTCGCCGATTTCCTACCATGTGCGTAGTATTGCCACCATAATCCATGTTCGTGCGGTCATGACTTTCGACACAAGATACCAAGACCTGCATGTTTACGTATCCCGCATCCGCCACGGAATACTAGCAACGAATCGATCTTATGATTATGTATTCCGATACCGTACGCTCAACGAAAGCTTTCTAGCGTACATCAACTATCCACATCGCTCATGTCAGTAATGCATACAAAGTTTCGGTTGTACACAGCTACAATCGGACCTTCTGCGTATTTCCCCAAACCCTCAAACCCCCCTCCCCCCCATCTGTTTGATAGACGAACCCCCCGAAAATAGCAATTTGGTAGATCCCATAGCAACCGAACTCTCCCCACTCCAAGTTTGACACTGTTTGACGTCTGCCAAAACTTCGCAACCGACATGGCCCGAGCGCAATTCCATGACCTTTGTGTTTCAACACGATATTGGTGTTTTGCTAGAACAACACCGATCGAGGAATAAGCCGAGAGAAAAACGATTGGAACAAGACCAATCAAACCTCGCCAACTTTTTACACACTGACGATGTCGCGTCCTGTGGGCTGAGTAGCAGTCCTGCTGGCAGAACAAAAGAAAATGCTGACGCGTCTTTGCAGTGGGAGGCTGAACGCCCCTTCACGTGCGTGACAGTGGGGCACACACACCCACGTATCCACTCTCCGAGGATTGTCCCTCCCCGGTTTAAAAGTGCGCGAGTCAGTATATCAATAACTTTTTCTGGGGGGAGCGGCTGCCCTGTCCCTATATGTATATTTCCCGGATTCACAATAAATATTCAATTGTTCCATCGTTCCTATTTGGGCCTTTGTTCGTTTGGGTCAGGGGGTGATCCTGTTCTTCTTTCTCACTGGCTGCTGACTAGTTAAGACTAGACGCGTTCAAACGTCAAACTGTGGCGGGTGGTCTCGTATCTAAAAAAAGAAACATAGTTAGCAAGGTCAGACTGGGAAACCTGGGGTGCGGTGGTGGTAGTGGTGGGTGTTCGGATGGGACACGGAGCTGAACGCCTTTTGTTTTTTACTTTTTGCTTTTCTTCTTTCATGTAAGGGCTAGTTCCTTACGTTGCTGTAACCTCTTTTTCTTCTTTGCAAGAGTCTCGCTTTGACGACTATGACGAAGCCTAGACATGATGACCTTTTTCTACTCTTCTTTCGCGTAATGTACCTTTCTATTTTCACGGGATATACTTGCTTCACTATTTTGGGGTTCGGGGCTATCGGGGCACCGATTGGGATGGTGGCGACAGTCGTGGTGGCCGTGGGGTCGGAGATTGCGTTTGTGCTTGCGAAGAAGGATGAGGCGGAGATGATGATGCAGGAGCGGTATACGGTTTAAGGATGAAATGGATTGCTGGAGGTTGAGAAAGCAAGAGGGATGCGTGGGTCGAGGGAAGATGTGTCGTACAGAAGAGGGGGGGGTGACACGGGATTCTGTTTACGGCAGTCACTGATGTGAGGGCGAGGACTGCGTTCCTTCCCTGGAACTGTAGCGCTGCGGCTATGGCCGACGTCACGACTACGATGCTATCTCAACTACCATGCCGAACGGCTCGCTTGGATGCAGTGTAGCCCACTGTAGAGGGACAACACGAAGACCTTAGGCTGGAATCATCGACACTGAGTGCGTCTGGGAGAGTAACAAGTCGTATCGATTCACCGCTCCTGCCACCAACGACTTCAATACCTACACACTGTCAGTCAAGGAAGTGACTGAGGACAACGAACCGAACTCGAACGATACACTCCCATCTCCATGTATTCGCCCGGCTTGCAGATACGGTCTACAAATCTCCTATCGTTAAGCCGACACATACAGAGAGAACAGGAGCACGATACGCTTCCAGGTTGGTTTCCACGTATCGGTGCGCAGAGACACCGATCCAAGCACACGGCAGGGCTGCAGGTGCTTTTGGAAACAAAGACGAGCAAACAACCTTGCCGCAACCGAAGAAGATTTGACAATGAATAATGGCTACCTCACATTGCTTTTCCACTGAGCTTTCGAAAGAGAAGATACAAGAGAAGAGTGAGAAGGATGAGGGGGGTAACATACACTTTAAACGGCGGAAAGGAGGGGGGATGGGACCTCGTACACATTCCCAGCGCTGGCGTATTCTCAATATTTATTTCATAATATTTTACGAAGGGTAATGTTCGCGCTGATTAACTTGGTAGCGTATGATTGAATAGTTATAGTTAATTTCAGTAATATCGACGGTGTAATACTCTGGTATGCAGTGCGCCTGGTCGACATCGATAGGTTGAAAGTACTTTCCCAACACGGTGTGTCTGACCACCCTAGTGATGGAAATCCATGAACGCTGTTTTCCGTCGTGAACAAATACAAAGATTCCCTTCCAAAACCAAGCATCTGGTAGCGGGTATTGTACATCGACCATCTCACCCTTTCTGGTCAAGAGCCGCAGAGCTGCAAGGCCAGGAGGGTCTTTTGTATCCCAATTAACTGTAGCTGAGATATAGTTAAGTGCGCGCAATTAGTAAGTAAGTCAGGGTAAAAGGGCTCTAACCTTGCTACGAGGCTTGCTCTCATTGGCCGCGCCTATGAGAAAGTGAAAGTAAACCTATTTGATTGATAAATGTATGATTAAATATCCAACGCCCAGCATGAGCAAGCAAGCATGCAGAATGTCGTGGTAAGACAAATTATTAAAAGGAGCGGGTAAACAAGAGATGAACAGCTGTTCACGCGACAGTTTAATAGCTACCCACTGACGTCAGAAACGGATTGGGAAAAAGGATTCACCGGAGCAAACCGTGAATTTGTATTACATAGGAGAACAATGTAAAAAACAAGTACAAAGGTATCTTTCCCCCCTAGAACAAAGCAATGTGTATCCTTGGATAACAAAACAGAAACGAAAATGAAGACACTACATCACCTTGGCGATGCGTCCCCGATCCTTCAAAGCCATAATCCAGACTTTATGGCTTTCCCATGGCACCAATCGATTGAAACCCAGTTCATTCCTCCAATCTCATTGCACACTGCATCGAGATGTCGTCTAGCAGCAATCTACGCAACACTCGCAGCACTCGAGACAGCATTCGCAGCTCTCCTCGCATAGGAAACAACAGCACAGGGTAGCGAGACTATACTCCAAGTTAGCGTTTGAAGTCGGGATAGCAATTTACGTTCTTGTTTCTTCATGTCTCCCTCGAAGAGCACAGGCGCAAATGAGAAAAAAGAAGGAGGAATAACATACCAAGCAGCCAAACATCCCCTGTCCTTCTTCTCTTTCTGAGGTGGTGGGGCCTGGCCCTGTGGAGGTCCGTACATCATTTGTTGTGGAGGTGGAGGGCCGTAGTTGGCGCCTGGAGGAGGTCCATAGCTATTTCGAAGAAAAAAAGTCAGCATCTTTGCTCTTGTGGATTGTTCCTCTTTTCCGACAATGCTTGCTAAAAGGAGTTCCCCAAATGACATGTGAGGTGAGAAATAGGGTAAAACGTACCTTTGCTGGGGGTACTGAGGAGCGCCTTGGCCTTGGTAGTATCCTTGGTTGGACATTGTTGCGTCGTGCGTCTGGTGATAATAACGGGGTAATTTCTCAGACTCTCAAAACTCGCTCGTGTCGAGTTTGTTTGTGGATGTGCGCAGATCGCTCGTGTCAAGTAGGAACGACAATGCCGAGGTTTCCGCGACCGCTTATTATATGCTTACGGGAGCAGCGGCGTTTTGGTCGCTACGTGGGTCGCGCAGAGGGCAAAAGCTGATGTGTAAGAGGTGCTAGCAATTGATGGTTGCGCCGAGTTTGTTTTGATGAGATTATAGTTTGGGCGTGGGGAGGAACAAGGTGTAGAGGAAGAGTGAGTGAGGAAGGAAAGTGCAATGCGGAAGGAGAAGGAGAGGAGGAAAGAAGATTATAGCTAAGAAGCCGCCGCGCCCGGGAGAGGGGAAAGCTAATGCTTACCACAACATGGCCTAGCCACTACGCCCCCATCCATCTCACGCGCACGTAGCACAGCGGCGCTGCGACGCATCATTCGGCCCTTGGGTCATAAGCCACACACTACGCGCGCTTCTATTGGCGCAAAACGACCGGGACTCGTCATCGCCACAAGCACCACCCATGCTTCACCCATCTGCCACGGTGCGCCTTTTTGCTCATTGGGCCGACACAGCAATACGCGGTTGCGCTGCGCCTCGTTTTTTTTCTGTTTGAGCTTGTGGCTACGTCGTACATACGTGGTAGTAGACCCGTATATGTGGACTTGCAGTAGCACCACATGGTGCCTTTCTCCTTGCGAAGCCTGGCCAAAATCAATGAGAGAGAGAGAGATGCGCGTTCGCGGTCTGAACAACGCTGTCTCCTTATAGGTGAGTTCATTATGCACTCGTACATGTCATGTCGGTAAGAAGCAACCGCGTGAGATGCCGTGACATGGGCTGTCGGGGGATGCGCTAAACTAAGCTTTACTTGGCAAAGGCTTGGTTCCAAAGTCTCATCCCGGTCTCGCCTGCGCCCCCGACCCGTCCTTAACGACAGCTCTAATCGGAACGATATTGGGCTGCACAGGGCTTAACTGGAATCCCTTCATGTACATATCCCTTGCCTTTTTCCTTTCCTCAATCTTCATGGCAGAAAGCGTTTAGCTGTAGCTCTTATCAACCTTTGTAATTTCCATTATCCATCCTAGCTGTACATTTTCCCACGATTTCCCTTTGCTCACCCACCATCCCCATCCCATGCGCCTCCTCTTCCACCCGCATCCTCAATCAATTGCCCAGATGCGTGCAGAGAGCTTTAACAATTACTTCTTGAGGAGGCATGGACATGCTAATATGCGCTATGTAAAGAAATAAAAAAGTAAAATCGAAATATGCCGTGGGTCCCTTCTGCGCCAGAGCAGAATCCATTCAACTCTTTCCAACCCGCAACCATGCCCCACTATAGCAAAATTATGTACAAGTACACGTAGAGGTAGAACAATTAATTGTGTGGGCCTTCATCTAAGCAAACAGGGCAGGAGATGAAAGAGGGCGCTGGTACATCCATACCAATTGCATACTAACAAGCCTAAAAGCCAAAGGGGTTCTGAGGAGCTAGTAGATAGTTAACAACACCATCATCAATCATCAAATACAACCACTTACTAGCATTGGCGAGGTTCGCCCGTCCCGTTGGCTGAGCTGTCAGCTTCTTCGCAGGCTGAACACCAAACTTGATGCTTGGGGGTGGTCCAGTCTTTTGCGGCACTAGAGGCTGTGCTTGCGGCATAGCCGGCATAGGCGGCATCGGAGGTACCGGTGGTGGGCTCTGACCAAAGCCCGTCGGCTGCGGCACAATTGCCGGAGGCAAGAAGCGGTTGACGCCAGTCGCTTGCGGGTTAAGCGGTGCTGGCTGGAACGAATTGTATCCAGTCGGCTGGGCCTGCAGTGGTTGGAAGGGTGCCATTGGGGGATCCGCAAACGGACTGCCGTTACCAAACCCTTGGGTGAAGTGCGGTGACTGCTGATAGCCCGTCGCCATTGGTTGTTGGAACCCTGTAGGCTGAGGCTGCTGGAATGGCGCAAACCCAGTTTGCATAGGCTGTTGCGGTGGTGCCGGCGACATGGAATTGAATCCCGTTGGTTGCGCCATCATGCCGTTTTGCTGGAACCCGTATGCTCCATTTTGTTGGGGGAACCCAGTCATCTGCGGCTGCATGCCTTGCATTCCCTGCATTCCCTGTCCCTGCCCGACGTTTGGAGCCATCATGTTGGGGTTGTAGCCAGTAAGCTGAGGCTGCAGAGGTGGTGGCGGACCAAACGCACTCTGTTGCGGGTTCTGTGGGGCGGAGGCTGCCCGTGGCGGTGGTGGAGCGAGCAGACCGCCAGTACTCTGCTGCTGAGGAGCCTGTGGACGCATGCGTGGCGGTGCCATATTCTGAGGTTGAGTCAAAGCCTTGATAGCTGCAACCTGCTCGAACAGAGTTGGAGTAGCTCCCGTCTGCTGGGGCTGCTGCTGTGGAGCGGGTGCCTGTGCTGCTTGTGGAGCAGGCGCAGGTGCAGGAGGGGTTGGCTGAGCAATCTCCTCGGGTTTGAGGGCGGGCATATCCAAGAGGGACAGCTCGCCCATAGCTCCAGTCAACTGAGGTGGCTTTGTAGCAGGTGCAGACTGTGCTGGAGGCGGAGACGCAGACTTTTCCGGGGCAGAAGCAGGTGCTGACTTTGATGGCTTAACATCCCAGGCATTGTCATCGAATCCATTCGCCTTGGCGTCTGATGCACCTGTAGAAGTTGCAGCACTCTCTGCAGGCTTCTTTCCAGCGTCGTCAGACTTCGGTTCGAACGCCTTTGGATCTACCACATCGTTGGTCTCCACAGGAGGTGCAGGACGTCCCTTGCGGGTGTTGTTACGAAGTGCACCTCCGGGTCCAGAGAACAGTCCACCAGACGCTCCCTCTCCATTGTCTTCTGCAGAGCTGGCGTTTTGCTTATTGCGTCCGAACTGGGCATCTACGTACTTGGACACACGGAGGATATCGCCCTCTTTGAGACCCAAAGTACGCAGAAGCGACGGCGTGATGTCTGGGATATTCTCCTCAGTCATCTCGTCCTTTACAAACGCCCGAGCATAACGTTCACATATTTGTGGGTTGACGCCACACTTGAGGAAGAAGTCAAACCAGTCGTACTCGGGCTTCTTCTCAACCGACAACCCGGTCGGCGAACGCCCGTCTTTCGATCGCTGCTGCTGCATGGTCTTTCTCTTCAGGTCAGACAAAGGCTTGTCGTCATCCAGAGATTCACCTGTGACGCGCTCAACATATTCAAGATCTTCGACAGACATTTTTGTGACTGGCACTGCAATCTTCACGCCATTCACCTTGTGCAAGTGAATCTTGCCATCCTTGATAAGAATAAATTCTGCTTCAACCTTGAACGAGCCAGATCGATCGGTCCAGGTGCGCACTTTGGCGGGGTCTATCACATATTGGTTAGTATTAAACACACCTTAACATATTACAGCCCCAGTAAGGAATACGCCCACAGGCAAACGCGTCATGGCATTTCGCACCGCTGAAAATCTGGCCTTTGATATAACAATGTACTCACTTGGCTTAGACGAGGACTTGGAACTCGAGTCCTTGGAGGACGTTTCGCGCTTGCTTGTTCTCTGTTCGGCACGACGCTGGTCAATATTTGTTTGTAAAAGGCTGGAGTTACGCAAAGGTAAGTGCAGGCCAGGGCCTACCTGATCGTTCCTCGCCTCACTTTCTGGCCTCTTCTGCCTCACGGCCCGGCGAGCCAGCTCCTCTTCTTCCCGCCTGTTCTGTTCGACTACAGATCGGCCAGCGTTGGTCCCGGAACGAGCGATCGAGGCAGCAGTAGCAGGTATGGGGACGGTTTCTGTAATCTCGACATAGTTAGCTGGCACGACACCTTCCTTGCCGTTCTTCAGCCGTCTGACTTTCCACCACTCGTCACTAGCTGAGTCATCCAGGACCAGAATCTCATCACCAAGGCCAACAGTCACCTCATCGTCACCCTGGGCCATAAAGTCGAATAACATGACTCCCTTTTTCTGTACATTGGAGTGTCCGGAACCAGCAGCAAGCACCTCCCGCAGTCCCGCACTCTTTGCAGCTCCAGCGAGCTCACCAAGAGCCATCATGATCTCTGACGCAGTGTCCTTGGCTCCACAGTGGAAGTCAATGCTCTTACTCGGCTGTTTGAGCTCCATGAAGATGTGCTTGCCCTCCTGCGAATAGTACTCCATCTTTTCGGCACTCCATTCTTGTTGCGGCCCGTCGCGTGACTTTTCCGGCGCAATCATGACCATGCCCTTGGGGATGTTCACACCCAGTGTCATGGGCATCTTCTTGTTCTTGCCCGGCTGCGTAATATATTCGTAAATGTTGTAGAGACGGTATCCTGAAGCTGACCTCGGAGTCGTCGGCTGCTCTTCCCTGCTTGGTGGATCATATTTGTCAAACGTAACACTTCGAGGGGGAGGTGACCTGGCCGGGGGGGATGGGGACCGCGCTGTCGCATATTGGGTAGGCGGATGAGAGGCTGCTTCGGATACTCGCCGTTGAGGAAGACTAGGGGGTGGCGCCTCGTCGTCGGATTCTTCGGGCGTGAATTGCACGCGTCGTCGCTGAGGTGCGCTAACGTTAGGTGGGGGCGAGATGGTCGATCGCGGCGCTGTTTCCTGAGACTTCTTCTGGATGATGCCAGCGAGTGCGGCAGCGGGGCTTGGTTTCGCGGGGCTATCTGGGGTAGGTGGCTGAGAGTCGTCAAAGGAGTCGGTGGCTGGAGGCATTGGCGGGCGACTTGGTGCCACCGGAGACGATGCAGCTGGTGCGGCTGGGGCAGCTTTGCCCTTGATGAGCTCAATGTAGTTGGCCGGTGCAAAGCCATAGTCGCTTTCAACGCCCACCAACGTCCAGTCTGGGTCTGTGGTGTCGTAGACATCAAGAAGGGCGTCTTCCTTGAACGACAACTCCTCATCCGTCTGGCGGTCGTAGTCAAAGAGGGCTTTGGCTTGCGCAATGGGGGCGGCCTGTATACGTGGTCAGTTG